GGAACTCGAACGGACACGACGCGGTACGATAAGGAAGAGGATGGGCAATGGATGGGCTTGGTGGTAAGCGCAGTTTGGCTAGCCACAGTTGAGATGGCACGGAGAAGACAAGGCGCGGGCGGGCAGGGATCGGTGTAGCCAGAAGCTCGGATAGAGGCGAAACGGTTGTCGTGTGCGCGTGTCATACCTCCGCCAAACCAGATGTTTTATCTCTGTCAACGCCAGGTACAATTTTCACAAGACTACATAAAGTACGGTTTAAACGAATTCATTGTGTATGTGTTGGTTGAACTACGCATACAATAACCCGCCCTGGTCGCTGGTGGTTCAGTGGTTCGGCGCAGTCTTTGCGGGTTTTTGGGGTGTATCTTCGTGGTGTGTTTTGAAGCCTCCTCCAACCCCTGAGGCCGGAGAGCATATGTGTGGGGTGAAATAACGTTTCGGGCTTCTGCTGGAACCAGGTGCGGTTATACATGTGTGCGGGAGAACCTGTCGCAAAACTGCAGGTGCGAGAACGCGGCCGCTCGTTCTAGCAGCACTGCAGATACCTCGCGGGCAGCGGAGGCAGAGACAAGAGATCGTGTAGAAGAAACTGTTTCTGCCTCACAACCTGTCACATCGCTTCCCCTACCGTACAACGGAACTAGCCAACAAGGTTGTACGCAGGCAGCTGCTCCTCAACACCGCGCGCAACGTCAGGACGTGTTCATATTTGTCCACGCACACAGGCAGCCGAAAACGAACACGCACAGCATCACTATTTCATCCGCACCTACAGCAGTAGTGGGGGATTTTTGCCCCATGGGCCACAATATGCCCCCCATGCAATTACTCGCACACGTGGACCCGCGTGCTAGCCAGACCCACCGCCGCCTTCGGACCCCAGGGCAACACGTCGTTGCGGTCGCGACGTTGCGGTCCACTACGACTACCAACCTCCAAAGCGTCCACCAATACTGCCTTCACACAAGGAGCAAGCCAAGTCGCTGCAATATACTACGTGCAGCAAATTGTGAACGACTAAATACTCCAGTGACGTGCTGCGGGAAACGGCGGTAACGGCTGTCTGTTTCTTGGCCGCGGCCGTACCCGCGCATTCGTACGATTCTACCCAGGCTGGGACACCATCAAGTTGAACACGCTCTGTTTATTTGTGGTCTGGCCTTCAGCACTGGCTGCTATCTGGCACGCTGCTATCCTTAGGGAAACGGGTGATTCGTCCCAAAAAGCCGTGCGAAACTCAAGATCGCAGTACCACAGTCGAGTCGCATGGGTGTTGGGAGGAAACAAGACCACACAATGGGAAACTACCTCATTTAGGTCGGCGGCGCCCCAAAGGCCTCGGCCATTCGTTCGATCGAGAATTTTCTGTTGGAGATGTACATGATGGGCACGCCCGGAATTTTGCGTATCCGGCGCTTCAGCTCCTTGTCGCAAGTGGCCACGATGTAGCATCGGTGCTGCTCCGCCCGCTGTTTTCGAAACATGGCACATCGGTGGGGGGTGGTGCCAACAAAAAAGGGGTTCAGGGTTTCAAAAAGTTGAGGTCCTGACCCTCTCAAGACACTTCCAACATGGCCAACTATGGGTACAGAGTAGTACGCATCAGCGAAATTCACACGCGGCGCATCAAATGCGCAAGGTTGGACATCTCTCGTTCCAGGGCACCTACGTAACGAGCGAACCATCGAGTTCGTCGCTATCCGACATGCACTCCTGCTAGGGGTGCCCCTCTGTCGTCCGAAGGCCCTTCCCCCTCCCCCACCCCCCCATCCGTATTGTCCCACAGCCTTGCATGGGCCAGGCCTCAGTCCATGAACCACCGGCACCAACCACCGCGCCCCACTAATGCCTCCTTCGAATTACAGACACTTGAGGTCATTGGCCAGGGCCAAAATAGAAAAGCAGCAACGTGCTTCCCGTACAACAACGTCAAACTCACCTGAACCAAGCAGTCATCCGCGTAAGTCCCCGTATGGGAGCACGGCAGCCTCTGAAACCTAGGGTCCTTGGACAGTCGCAGTGCCACGCGATACTTGGGCCCAAGCTTCTCCAGCTCTGCCACCACGCAGTCCGTCACGCACGGGATGGCCTTCGCCAGCAGGCAGTCCATCATGGCCTTCACGATGTCCAGCTTGTTCTGTTGAGAGTGCGTCACGTGTTCAGGGGGTGGGAAAACAAGAGATTGTCGAAGTCTGAACGTGCCACTCGATGTGTTCGGCTTTGGCCGAAGCTAGAATATTGGCAAGTCCACCCCCTGATTTACTTCTCACTCACAGCAAGGGTGACGGCAGCTTTCCGCGTTCTACGACTCCAACTCTTTTCACTTCCCTTCCTAAAAGTACAAATCGATCCACCTATGTTTGTGTTGTGTTTTCGTCCTATTTATTATGGCGACAGTCCCCTCATTTTTCGTGGTGAGACGTGTACTACACTTTTCAGTGTATTTTTTCTTACAACTACAACCATCCAGGGTCAGGGTAAACACCGGACCTTTTGTCTTGCATATATTTTCGTGCCCCACCTTCCTCCTGCGGTGCGTGCTGAATTGTTATATTTTTCGCGAGAAGGGTCCAGCCGTCCCTTTCCCTCGTCAACGGTGCTAACGTCAAAGTTTGGTGCTCACGAGAGATTGTCAGATGTTTTTCGCTTTCACCCGCAAATTTGTAAATTTTTCACCCCCATGGGGATTCGAACTCACGACCCTTGCGACTATATCGCGGTTTCGAGGTTACCACTAGACCACCGGGGTGACCGGCCGTGCGACAATGAAAAAACATCGCGGGTGAAAAAAAAGAGAGTTTGATGGCCATCCCGTGGTTCCAGTAACGCTCCCATGAGAAGCTTGAGTTTCTTCGGACATACGCCCCGGAGCGAACACAACGGAAAGGCTAACAAGCAACCGCACCGCGCTACATACCTATCAATGTGCATCGTGTTAAATACAGTGCAACAGCTGCATGATTACTGTATGCATCGATACGTGGATGCGGTGTGAAAAGTGACTGACGTTTGGTAGAACGTAACGTCTAGCGAACAGTTTGTGAATGTATCGATTGTTGATCTGAGGATTGTAGTTGGAGCGAAATCGCGAGGAGTTGCGAGCCCCACCGCGCTCACTCCCAACATTCCCTCAACATCTCAACTCTGCAAGTAAGCTGTGAAGTGAACACGACTGAAAAGAACTACAAGCTCCAGAAGCAGCGGCATTTCGCAACAACATCGTCTTCGATCACTGCCTCAACAGACTTCTGTCGGAACAGACTTCGGTCTCAACGTCACGCAGACTTCTCTGTCTGGATGTGCGCAAAGGCTTTTACCCGCCTTCAGACGACCCTTGGGTACAGATCAAACCTCGACACTACACATTTCGACTTATCTTCTCCCCTCCGACACCCACCACACTACAGGGATCGAACCTTGATGGAGAAGTTGATGAAGTTGGTGTCGATGAGAACGTGGTACGGAGGGCCGAGGGCGGTGTTGTGCGCGAAGAACATGGCAGTGGGGACTTGTTTCACGTGATTCGTCTCCGCCTCTTTCGCCTGCACACAAAACATGATCGATGGTTTCGAAAACGAGTCGCGATTGACATAGAGAGTGAGGAAACACGCGACCAGCGATGATACCAAAGGCCCGAGCGCAAGACGATCAATTCGACAGGTCAGCGGTTTTCGTTGTCATGAACAAAAAAAAAAATGGCCCATTTGTTCCCATTTTTCCATGGGGTGCAACGGAGGTCAAGACAAGTGGGATCAACAACTCATCTAAGTGCGACCTCACACACTGTTGAAGCCGCACAAACGCTGACACCATTGAGGATGGCCATTCCCTACGAGTCACACGTCCGATACCGCGAGGTTCTTCTCAAGAGATGGGCTCAAGTTGCATGTCTGGCGTCCAACCTAGACCTCGACAGCACGCTCTGCGAACTGGACACAACCTTTCTATAGCCAGCACGAATGACCGTCAATTGTCGTGCTTGTCGAGGCAAACAAGCCCATCAGAGAGCGCTATTTAGTGGCCGCGGTTCTAGATGGCGATCAAACGTGCTGTGGATCATGATCCTGGAAAGCTGCGCACTAGTCGGTCGAATTTGCCCGCTTGATTTCTCCACAGGGACACGGCGCGGCGCAACCTTGGCGAGAACGACGTAAGCATGCTGCGCACACAAGTCTAAATACGGAAGTACTGGGCTCTCCAAGTGTATCACGGAAGATACCACCACCCTCGTCCAAAAAGCATCCGTCCCCATCTCTCACCACACAACGTGTTGCGAACCACAAAACGACCCACAAAACACTAGTAGTATGTACAGCAGTACCAAGTACAATGGGGACCGTCGGGTGCGTCCATCACGGACGCGGGTGTCCACCGCGGCTGGTAGGGAGGGATTCCTGCCATTCTTCGTAAAGTCCAGCAGCGCACCTGCTGTACAGCGGACAAGGCAGGTCTCACGTGTCCCTCTTCTCATATGTTAGCTTGTTGCGTTCCTCTCACCTTCTTTCTTTTGGCTTCTTCCTTCTCCTGGTTCCCCTTCAAGCGGCAGTCCTTCGGGCTCAGCAAGCGCTTGGCCTGGGCGAACTTCACCCGCACAGCTCGGGATTTCTTGGCCTTCCCCATACCTTCCGTTCCTCAGTTCTCCCTTCTCCAGCGACTACAACCAAGCAAAGACACACGGCGCCAGGAAGAACGCGTATGGGAGACACAGCAAGAAGAGCACCAAGTCACACTAGCAGGTGACAAAGGCAGAGCAGCACAACAGGTAACAAACAGTCCATCCATCGTCCAGCAGCCAGCAGCGTTGGGGGCTCCGCCGAATGTACAGGTACCAACTGGTTCGGTTCGCCCTGTCGGGGGGTTGCACCTTCCCTCGTCACACTTGGCAGCTCTTGGCAGCTTGGTTACACGACACCCAGCCAACGCTCAGAGCTGAGAACAACTCGATGGACCCAGTGAGAAGTGACAGTGTGGATCAAGGAGAGTGCGCTAGTAGTGAGATGAAGGTGAGAGTTGTGGTAACAGATGCTGATTCGAGATCGACGTCTCCAATATTTTGTCTCTCCGGAGCGTTACCCCCATCTCTCCCGCAAAGAGACAGAGATTGGGCTAAAAGCCGGGGCACCGGCTGGCGGAAGAAAAGAGGGGTTGGCTTGTTGTAGCACCACCATGTAATATCAGCCTAGTAGGCCTGATTCCGCATTCTACAAGAAGGAAAGTTTGAACAGAGACCAGAGGTTGGCAACCGCCCGTCAGAACCGGCTACATATGTGTACAAATTCGTCATACCCTCTTTTCTCGCGTCATTGAAACGCCCCCGTCCATGACCGACCGCACGGGGGCGTGCGTGTAATGACGCTGCAGTACCCGCTGTGCTGGTTTTGCCGGACATATTGGACCCCCATCTTCGAATACTATTTTCTCAGACCCACACACGGCATCCCTTGTTACGCCAACAGTAGCACAGCAGTTTCCGACGCGGACTTAGACCTCCGGTGTGTATTCTTACTCCTTCACTGTCAAGCAGTATGCATACAATGCATAAACAAGTCAACCGCGTACTTTTGGTTGTTTTGCGTCCGTGTTGCAACGCAGACAGCAGCACGAGAGGGGTAACATCAGTTCCTGCTTCCCGTCTACCGATTGCCCATCCTCAATCCAAGATACTCTTGACAAAGTTGAATCTAGTAACGTCTTGAATTCCTCGATCAGCAATATATAATGGCTGCCCGCTCAACCCCTGCCCGTATCGATCGCCCTTCTTTTCGTCTTCTTCTGGCAGGACGAGAACAAATTGGTGACGCAGCAAAAAGAGCTACTTTCGGGCGAACAGCCCGAGCTGAGTGGTCATTCTCCTGCAACGGAGCCGCCTATCCCCGCTACCGATGCATCATCATCATCGCGATTGGCGATCAGCAATAAACCGCGGGTAGATGCCGAGACGCTCGCCATCCACGCCGCCGTCGCCGCCGGAGACGTCTCCTCGGTAGAGGCTTACATCGCCCGAAACGCCGACAAGATTCTCAAGTTCAGGAGACCGAGTGCGACGGCAACAACAGCGCTGGTGCCGCCTACCTCCGGCATCGCCGCGTTGCTCGTTGACCCAGCTGCGCCGAAGAGCGACGCGGACAGCGGCGGCGTGTCGCCCCTGGAGGTGGTGAACCTGCGAGGCAGAACGCCGCTGCACACGGCGTGCGTTGGGGGCCACATCCGGGTGGTTGAGGTCCTCCTAGCTGCGGGGGCTGACGCGAACGCTTTCGACAACGCCGGGTGAGATGTGGTGTCGGTCGCGTGCGTGCGTACCGTTCGGGGGGCATGCGGCGGAACGTAGGCATCATTTGCGTTTAATACGGCAGCATTAGAGTCGTCGAGGGGTCAGGCACTAGTGATGTATAACGCACCAGCTGGAGCCGGGAGGGTTGTTGTAGTTCGAGTTGTGGTGAAACGTGGCGGCGACGAAGTGAAATCTCCCGCGCAAGCTTCCATTTGATGGCGACTTACTTGGTCCAAGCAAGTGGGGACCTAATTGCGGATTTGTTGCTCCTCTGTTGTTCATTACAACCACCGCTTTGTGTGTTTTGTATTCTCTGCGAAACGGGCGTTGCCGTTGCGAAGCGTGCTGACCCCGGCACCGCCCCCGCATAACTTTATTTCCTTCCCTGCTGACCCTATCCTCCCTTGTTCCCCCCGCTTCCGACGGCCGGACGACGATCAAAACGACAGGTTCTCCCCTCTACACCGGTGCGCTCAGTCCAGTGACCTACACTCCGCACGAGCCCTATTAGACCGCAACAAAGGGAGTGGTGGTCGAGGAGGCACCTCTCCTGCCGCTGGAGATGCCTCTGCCGTTGCTTGCGCGAACTCCGACGTCGATGTCCCTACGAGAAGAGGCGACTACCGAGCAATCCACCTCGCCTGCTACGCGGGGTCGGCCGACATGGTCAGCCTCTTGGCCCGGAGGGGCGCCGACGTATCAGCCGGCGACAAGTGGGGGGCGTCTCCGCTGCACCGGGCGTGCCTCGAGGGGCATCTGGAGGCCTCGCGCGCTGTTCTCGATGCGGGGTGAGTGAGAGAGGGGATCGTTTCGTTTTTTGGCGTTGGCGAGGGGGAGAGGGCTAGTCTATGTGAGGCGACAGCAGTGGGCGTGCGCACGAGCTAGGTTTGGTGGGTGTGCGTTGTTTGCTGCTGCTCTACATGTATGCCCATGTGGGTGCAGTCTACCAATGGGCAAGATGTAAGACACGTTTGTTCAGCACGTGAGCAGTCGGTGATGAGAACCATCGCCATTCCAGGAGAATTTTGATGGCTCAAACACCTAAAGGCATGAAAGAGACACAGCATGATATTCTTGGTGTACTTGGCAAACAGACACAAATTGGCGTATGATAACGATAGTGTCCAATGGCCCGGTAACTAAGGCGAGCAATGAAGAAGGCCCCCCGAACCGCGCGCCGTTTTTTCGATTCCCTGTTCCCGAAGGGCCGAGGTAGACTCTAGAGACAGCTGGAAGACCACGCCGTTGCATCGCGCGTGCCACAGCGGACATGCGGACATCGTGGACCTCCTTCTGCGGAGAGGAGCGGCCACGTCAGCAAAGGACGACATTTTGCAACGTCCTGGACAGAGCTTTGACAATGACGTTCCGAGCGAACGGCGGCAGGTATGTATCTTGTGCTGGTTACACATGCTAGGTAATGTTAGCTAATGTGGGTGTACCCAAGGATGAGCATATTGACAGCGATCATCCCCCGGAGTAGGCGTTTCGCGGCGGGACAGAAGCGACTAAAGTTTCGGACAAGAAGGCAGTGTATATTGTGGTCCAGTGTTCTACCACGGTTCAAAAAGTGTCGTGTTTCACCCCGATGCATTTGTGAAACTGACCGTCCATAGTCGAGGGTGCCATGCTCGCTGTCTGCCCGCAGCCCACAACGTGCACGGGCGCACGTTCGGCAAACCTTCTCTCATGCCGTTCCGAAGCGCGTCCTTGTCAACCCTGCCTGCCGCACCAGCGTACATCTTCAGGAAAATCATGCGCTTTCGTGCCAAATGTTTTGATTTGTCGTCCAGGTGATCGCCGCCCTGCTGAAGGAAAGCGAGAAGGCTCGCAGCACTTCCAACGGTATTGGTGCCGTCGGAAACACGCCATGGCCGGGCGCCGGCGCTTGGAGCCGAGCTCGAAACAACACCGACCCAATCCAAGGCAAGGAGCGAAGCCCGAGTCGTTACATCCCGCCGGCTGCCCGGGCCGCAGCGGCAGCGGCGGCAGCGGCGGCAGCGGCGGAGGAAGAGGCGGCGGCGGCGGCGGCGGCGTCCGGGCCTTCCGATAGCGCCGGCGGGGGGGATCGCGACACCCCCGCGTTAAAGACTACCACCAGCGCGGTCCAGCCTTGGCGCAGAAAAACGTCGACCTGGACGGGACTCTCCGAGGACCGAGGCCCTGACGTGGATATTGATGGAGTTGGTCGTTCGGATGGCATTTCCGCCGCAGCGTCCGTCGGGAGGGAAGGCGGGGAGGGCCATGGAAAATTCGGAGACGGTTCTGCGCAAGCGGGGAGTGGGCCAGGACACGAGGAGGAGGAGGAAGAGGAAGATGACGAGGATTTCGATAACGAAATCTTTGAGCTAGAGGTGGTTGGGGTTAGGGACGGGGCGGGGTCGGAAACTGGGCTGAGTGATTGTCATCCTACCACCGACTGGGGGCTTCGTTCATTTGACGGTGCCCCAAAGACGGCCTTCCCAAGCTACCACAATTGAGAGACCCCACCGGTGTGGTTTGATGCGCCGGAGCCTCTCTCGGACTGCCGGACAGAATTTTGGGTTCGACTTAGGCCGATATCTGTGGCTCCACCAAATCGGGACATGTTTTGCGGCATCGATTGGACGAGAGTGCCGGCGGGCGCTAGCTGGACATGTTGACGCATGGTGTGGTTTGTTTTTGGTGCAATCTCAGTGCTGCACGATCGCCGTACGCTTCTCGGCGGACGTATCGAAGTACCGGGGGCACAAACAATTTTGACTATGCTGAGAAACTCTGGCCAATCCGTACGCAGAGGCTCGTTCGGTTCGGCTACAACGTATTTGCTTGATTGTGGTGGGGGCTATCTTTGCCCTCCCGCTGTACACGCGGTATCATGGCGTTAGAGCCGCAGCCATTAGGCAGCTGCTTGCGCTGTTTCGTGCCGCGTAGATACGAAGACCCTTTGCCGTTGTTTTACTGTAATGATGGGCCTCCAGGGAGAGAAAAGCGCATTTGCTTGCGTATTAGCGTGTTCGTGTTTGCCGAGGCAACCGGACCGAACTGTGTGGAGGGGGCGGTTGCGTGACCATCGCATTTGCTTGCTCCACCTCCGTTGAGCCTCCCTCTTCCTTGCAAGGTGTGGTGTGATATACCGCTGTCAGTTTCGGGGTGCAGCGGTATCGCCGTCAATGTGCGTGATGTGATTCGTGGCGTGGATGGAGCTTTGTGTTGTTTGCCGTGCCGTCTGTTACAGACCCTGTGCTGTGCAATGTATAATGCGAATGTGGTGCGGTTGTACGTTGTTCTATTTAGCTGCTGTGCTTGTGTTGTCGTGTTCTAGCTGCTGTGCTTGTTTTTTTATTTAACGCTGATTGTGGTTTTCGTTATTTCGAATGTATGCGCGAGTCATGCCGTTATTCCGAATCTGCTCTACGCGAAGAAAATACGTGATGCTACGTTAGCTGACGATTGTGTTGATGTGAAGATCGTTGCGGTCAGGCAACCTTGTCACCGACTTTGTTGTGGTTCGTGTCGCGTGCAATGAACCAGTAGATTCCAAAACACAGAAATGGGTTGACCGTTGTATTCCTTATATTGCTTGGTCTTAGCAGCTTCCTGCCTGCCTGCCTCCTGTCGGCAACCGTTGGTGGTGATATTCCGTCGTAAGTGGGAAGTGGCGTGTTCCACACACACATCCTACCTCCAATACAAGATGAGTGTTTGTCGACCGACTGCATCGCTACTTTCCTGCTACGAAAACCAAGTACTGGATGTACAAGGACGAGAGGTGCAGCCTCGTGTGCACCTCGAGTCGTGGGTGATTGCCTACCTGCCCCTTATTGTCTGATTTGGCCTGTGTCTGGCTAAAATCGGAGTCTTGGTGGGGTGAGATCAGGCCAAACACTTGGAGGATGTATAGGGGGCGCTGGACCGATTTTCAAAGCTCGACAACTGCACACCAAATATGAGTGGCGGTGCCGAAAATGGTTGCGCTGAAGCCGTCTTGCCGAGAGCTTTCTGAGAGCGCATCATTTGATGTCGGCATCCTCCTCGTCGTGGAGTAGGTACAGTTGAGCCTCGCTTTGGGTGTCGGTCTTCCTGGCTCCTCGGGGCGCGATATCTTTCTGCTGTAGATTGCATGTATGTATGTATGTTCGCAGTTATGCACCCCACGTGCCCTCTTCAACACATCGCGTTTTACACTACTACCGGCAACGGCACGTCCTTGCCTCGGATAATATGAATGAAGATGCTACGGTGAACATATGCGTATGATGACCCAGACCCCCAGATCACGGCCCCTCATCCCAACCTGCTGTGTGGTACCGCAATATTCTCGAATATACTTGCGGTAGAGGCACAGCCAGGTTGAAATCGTAGATGATGAACAAGAGCGGCACCCCCCCCGCGCTCAATCCAAGGGTACGATCCATTGTTCCCCTATCCCCTATCTGCTATCTCGAGCGGTGAAGCGGTGCCGGTTGCTTCAGCGTGCAACAACAATGCTATCCACGAGCAATCGAACTATCCTTGAGAGAGGATGGGGAGGCCTTCTCTACTAGCACTACTGGTTCTCGTCGTGACGGCTGGGGTAGTAGTGGTAGGACGTATTTCCTGGTCTCCCCTACGGGAGAAGATGCGGGCAGAAGAGAGACATCACCTCGATAATGCAGCAGTTGCAGCGGCGAACAAGACATCAATGTTTACAACAACACGGCGGATATCCCAGCAGGACAAGGGCCGGTCTCTGGAGGGAGAAGCATCACCTTTCAACAGCGAGACTAGGACGACTCCATTGAGCCTCGCGAGAAAGACACGGGGTGGGTGGGTGTGGTAACTACAGCACATACGATACATTGTACTTGTGTTCCGTTTCCTGTCGTCTCGTGCAGGTAGTAATACGCCTGGTACAAGTGTGGCGCACCCGTACCCGTACAGCAGTTGATATGCTACGTATGCTATTCTTAGAGGGCGATCAGGACCACGTGTAGCCTTGATCGCAGCCACCATGAGAGGACCACGCGGTACGAACGTGTCGAGGTAAGATGCATTTCATGTCCAGACCCTGATCCAGACGATATCCTTGTCTCGGGCGGCGGGATCCTGTCTTTCTCTACATGAGTTTTTGTACACCCCTTTGGACGAAGTTGGCTTACAAACAGTCACAGGGTGTGATGCTTGGGGGTTGTGTTGATGATACGTCCGCCGGTTGTTGTTGTGAGGTTTACACGCGCAGCAATCCCTTAAGATCTTGCCCTCTGGTGAAGTACTCACTTGTACATGTTGCTTCTTTGTCGCTAGTGGGCAGTATCATACTTACTGTTTATTTTCTCTTGCACTGAACAGAAGGCGGGTAGCGGACCTCTCCGTGCAGGGGGGGCTGCATGGCAATACTTGTATGTACCCCCTTTGGGAAGCAATCCGAGGGAGTTGCAGCTCCCGCCAAAACCTGAACATCTTGCCTATTGAACTGCACTTGAGATCTTTGTGCTCAAATCCCATAACGGTGTGGTTTTGTCTTTGTGGGGTGGTATCTTGTGTCGAAAACGGTGTACCTCGGCGGTTCTAGACTACAGCAGTGTCATGCATTGAGCGAGTGTCGGATGTAACCCTGTCCCATCGTCCGCGTATAGGAGGGCGCAGGAGACTGAAGGCAAGGGCGGTTCTACATGCGTCTGCAGTTTGAAGAGGCGAACTGGGTAGTCCAATAGCATGCCTACATGCGGCACAGAGTTGTGCGCATCATTGTGTATGTGAAGAGAGCAACAACAATAACGACATTTAACAAACGCCAAAACACCGCATTGTGAGCGTCGCTTCGCTCCTACGTGGGCTGGCCCGTTGAGGGTCATGCGATGCACATGCCACACCACGACCACCACCACCAGACTTTGCACGTATGCATGCTGCGCGTACGTGTGTAGGCACCCGCTCACGGAGGCGTTTAAAACCCATGCGATCAAAATGCACCAGACAAATACGGGCACCAAACGGGAGACAAGAATTACCACAAAAATAACGCGCACCCCCCGGAATAGAACGTTTAAGAGGTCTTTGGTAGTTTGTCCCGCAGTACACCTACGCTTCCTGGTGTAGATGCTGGTGCTGCATGTATTCTGTGTTAGTGCACTGCCGCCCTCAGCGGTCTGTGGTGTTGAGACTGGGGACTATGTTATCCTAGGAACAGCTGATAAAAAAGGACCATGTATTGTATATATTCGTCACGCAAGCCCCTCAGGCAAGTGCCGGGAGCACACCGCCGCGTGCTCCCGGGGGCCCCGCACTTGGACCACAACCGCACACATACCCTCACACCCATACTTCCAATACGCGTATCCCCCACGGAGGATGCACAGATCGGACTCATATCCAAGTACCACAAACAGCCCCCCTACTTGATACGATGTACGATCTTGCAACCAATGAAAAAACGCAATCAGCAAACATAGAAAAACACCCCTTGAGAAAACTTATTCAACAAAACTGGCTACGCATCCAACACAAAGCGTCTCCATCAGTTTATTCACGAATCCAAAGCGTTCGTCTCTGGAAATAATCTCAAACCGTTGACACAAAAGAATCATCCTTAGAAAAGTACCCAACAATTCTTTGTGCTACATCAGAAAGGCGTCGGAACGAAAACGGACATTTCTGGAAAAAAACAACTTCCAAAAGAGTTGGCACCAAATCCTCAAACAAAACAAAAACTCAACTTCTTGACCAATCAAAACGAGAATTCGGAAAGCACAATGGCCCCAACCATTAATCGTCAAAACATGTCAAACCCTTCCTCCAATACAGTGTCCGAGGACCAAATCCTAAACAGCGCGCACCCGATAATCGGTACCGTCGCTGTTGTCCAAGAAACGATAGAAAATATAAGCAAGCATCCACGCAAACAGCCCCCCTGCTGTCAGCTCCCAAACTTCACCCCGAGCTAATATCTCGATGTCAACAGTCCCCCTTGCTTTGCCGTTCACCTAAAACACAAATAGACAAGGCCAGAAAACGAACCAATTCGATTGCTGCTCACGCCCCCTAGAATCATGGTCATACATGACATCCCCCCCCATGATTTTCGATGCAAGAGCAGCAAAACATGCGATACAAACCAAAAACATGAAAACACGTTACACTCATGGCATCAAACTCCGGAAAAATTCGTACCGTATGAAAACTGTATTTGCAACTGGAACTCCAAAAGCTACCCTGCTCCCTGAGCCACATGCCTTCACGCACGTCAAGCAACCCGCTATCATCCCATTTCTTGCGCGCGGCCAAAAACACACCGCAGAGAGCGACCGCTTAACTCAGGACCTAACATAAAAAAAAAAAGTATCGAAACACCCTAAGCGCCAAAGAATAGGGAAATAATATGAAGCATTCAGCTGCAAGGTAAAACGCGACTGAAAACATACGAAGAACCAAGGAAAAAAAAATAAATAAAACCCCACCTGCTGCTTCCTATTCCACAGGTTGTGGCAATGCTTATCTTGTCGCAGCGAACATTTATTATCGTGAAACCAAGTACAGAAAAAAAAATATTACGCACACGCCGTGGCACACGTGTTTTCTGCATCAAAGTGCACGGCGTGCTTGCAAGGGAAAAATAGAAAAAAATAATAATAATAATATGAAGCCAAATGGCGAAGCTAAAACGTTCATGGCTGCTCGCAAAACCGAACAAAGTCGTAAACGTTTCACATGATTTCCCACTTGGCTGTAACAAGGTGAGATCGTCGCTGTCACCGTGTCCTCCCCGTTCCCGGTCGACTCGAGGGCGCCACCGCTGCTGCCGCCGCTGCCATCGCCGCCGCTGCCGTTCCCCCGCCGCCACGACCGTCATGAGTTCCAGCGCCAACACGGCTGCCGGTAACGTCGATGCTGCCGCCTCTACCACCGCCGCCGTTGTCGCCGCTGCCGCCGACGGGGCTCTGGCCAAAACCGCCGCTGCCGTCTTCTGCTGCGGTCGGAGCTCTGGCCGAAGCCACCACTCCCGTCGCTGCTCCTGCTGCCGCCGGTGTCGCCGCCGGAGCTCTGGCCGAAGCCGCCACTCCCGTCGCGGCTGCCGCCGTTGCCGCCGTTGCCGCTGCCGCTCCCGTTCCTGCCCCTATCGAAGGGGTACGCCAACCCTGGGACCGCCCCCCGTCTCCTCGCGCAACGCGAAGATGCCTTACCGGGGTCGAAGGGGTGCGTCCGGGCTCCACTCCAGGTTTCATCTAACCCCTCACCCCCGTTCCCATCACTGCCGCTTTCCTCGCTGCTGCTGCTGCTGCTGCTGCTGCAGCTCACTTCCTCCTCAGTCTTTCCGGGATCAAAAGGGAGCGTCGGGGCTCCACTCCAGGTTCCATGCAACCCCTCGTCCCCGCCCCCATCGCCGCCACTGTCTTCGCCGCTGTTGCTACAGCTGCCGCTGTTGCTGCTGCTGCTCGCGTCTCCCTCAGCCTTCCCGGGGTCGAAAGGGTGCGTCGGGGCTCCACTCCAGATTTCGTCCAACCCCTCGTCGCCGCCCGTGCGGCCGTCTGGACACCCGACGCCAACGCGGCGACCGGGGACGCCGCTGCTGCTTCTGCCGCTGCCGTTCCCCCTGTCACCGATGTCGCTACCGCCGCCGCCGCGGCTGCTGCTGCTGCTGCTGCTGCTGCTGCGGCCGCCGCTGCTCGGGTCATCCGTCTCTCCACCATACTTCTCCTCTCCATCCACACGCACCTCCAGCGTATAAAATCCTCCAGGGTCAAAAGGGTACGACGCGCCCCTCTCGAAACCGCAGATGCCGTCGTCTCCGCCGCTGCTGCAGGTCAGGGTGCCCGGGGCCATCGCGGCGACCAGGGACGACGCTGCTGCTGCCGCCGCTGCCGCCCCCCCCGCCGCCGACGCCGCCACCACCGCTGCTGCGTCCGTCGAGGTGCCCGGGGCCATCGCGGCGACCGGGGACGACACGAAGTCGGTGCTGCTAGTGCTGTGGGTAGACGCGGCACTATCACCAACCCACCAGTCGGTACACCCAGACGCCGACAGCAAAGTGGGGACAGGGGCCGGCGGATACGCTACAGGGTGACGGTGTTGGCAGAAAACGTGAAGAGCATTACGATCGGGGGGGGGACCTACCGGCTCTACGGTGCGGTACGAACCGGCATGACCATCCCCCCCTACTCCATCAACGCATTCACCCTCATCGCCACTGACCTGTGTATCCACGCCGGAAGCATCCCCCCACGCGCGGCCCTCCTGCTGTTGCAGCTGCTGCTGCGGCTCCTGCTGCCCATCACCCACAGAAAACTGGACCTCACTACCGGCTCCACCCACCGAGCCAAGCTGCTTTTCTGGCTGCTGCTGCTGGGGCACACCACCATAGCCGCTGCCGCCAGAACCCTGCCATGGCTGCACACCTCCGCTGAAGTCATCCTGATGCACCACGGCAAGGTGCTGCTGCGGAAGAGGCGCCGACACGGGCCAATGGTGCGCTATCGACCCGTCTACACAACTTGCCGAATACCCCGGCTCCGCGCTGTTGAGATGGGAGTGCTGGGGGAAAGGCTGCTGCGAGAAAGGCTGGTAAGGTGGGGGCATTACGGCGTTGAGGTGGGGTGCCTGAGACGTGTTGGCCGCCGCGTGTTGGCGCGGCGGCTGCTGCAGATTGTTGGATGTGTTAAATTTGCAGTTGCGTGCCGTGTGGCCGGATTCACCACAAACAGAACACCTACCATAAAATCGCGGAGGAGCCTGGCAGATGATGGCCGTGTGCCCGACATGACCGCAGCGACCACACATGGGCACGGCGCACATCGGTGATCCCGGGGGAATGGGGGATGCCTCCTGCGGCCACGCTGCGTTCCGCCCGGGGTCCCTGGGACCACCCGGAACGAACCCCATCGCCATTGCGGGAGTGAACTCCTGGGGCTGCTGCTGCTGCTGGGGCTGCTGCTGCTGCTGAAACGACTGCTGCGGAAAATGCTGAGGGAATCTCCGTTGATACTGCTGCTGCGGCGCCTGCTGATTAAATGACTGTTGCGGCTGCTGCAGCTGCGGGCGATATCCCCCGTTGTACTCTCCCTGAGTTCCCCCTCCCCACCCCGGCTGCTGCTGTCCATCTCTACCCTATTGTCTGCCTTGGGAAAACCCACCGGTCCTCCGCTGCGGACCACCACCACCGCCGCCGCCGCCACCGCCGCCGCCGCCGTTGCCGTTGGGCCGTGAATTTCCGCCGAAACGAAGAGCGTGCGGGTCGCCAGCCGGCGCGGCCGTCCGCTGAGCACGATCACCGAGATTTTTCTCAACGTGGTGGCTACGCACAAGAATCTCCAAGCTTCTGCGTGTGAGCGTGTGATCATGCATGAGCACGGTCTTGACCTGTTCGTAGTCTGCCGAGAGGCTTCTACGTAAAGTCGCAAGGACCTCACTTTCCGGGATTTCATAACCGTTGACAGCGCGAAGCGTATTCAGCACTTTGTTAAACCTCAGAAAGTAGTCTTGCGGGTCCTCTCCGAGCTGCATCTTCATGTTAGCGAGAGACAACTTCAGGGCCTCCTTCTCAGAGCTACTCATCGGAAGACAAAACTCCTGGGCAGCCTCCCATGCCCCCGACACATTCCCTACAGCAAGAATCGTCGATTGGAATTTCGCCCCCTTGGAACTTCGCCCCCTTCGTGGCTGGCCTCAAGTAATCGAAAGCACGCTCGTGATCACGCACACGCTTCTCACTGTGGAATCTTATGTTCTCGCTCCTGGAGGTGTGGATGAGCCAGATGCGTTGATCAGGACTCGCCGGCGGAGTGAGTGTGTGCCCAAGATCTTCGCCGGCGAGGAAGACCTCGAATATCGTTTTGAAGAGCGGGAAGTTGCCGTCGTACACTGGTGGCTTGCGGTCCCTGTACTGCTGTTGCACTGGACCATCTCGAAAAGAAGTAGCCGCTCCACCGGCTCCAAAGGTGTCCGCCCCCCCGGCTGCTCCACCCCTATTATACCCCGACGCGTACCCAGCGCCATCCACCCTATCTCTAGTAGCGTCCCCCGCTGAACTGCGCTCCCTTTCCTCCTCAAGTTCCCTCCGTAACTCCGCATTCTCGGCTTCCGCTTTCTTCATTCCTTCTTCCACTCTCTCTCTCTTTCCGTCATCGCTGTACCAACACCTGGCCTAGCTAGGCTCCACGATATCGTGTTAGTGCACTGCCGCCCTCAGCGGTCTGTGGTGTTGAGACTGGGGACTATGTTTTCCCAGGAACAGCTGATAAAAAAGGACCATGTATTGTATATATTCGTCACGCAAGCCCCTCAGGCAAGCTGGTATTCGACACGCAAGCCCCTCAGGCAAGTGCCGGGAGCACACCGCCGCGTGCTCCCGGGGGCCCCGCACTTGGACCACAACCGCACACATACCCTCACACCCATACTTCCAATACGCGTATCCCCCACAGAGGATGCACAGATCGGACTCATATCCAAGCCACAAACATTCTGTTTATTCTCCAAAGACAACCGTTAATGTGTGTTGTTGTGTTCGCAATACAATCCCTGCTCAGGTAGCACGTCGTGGTCCAGCAGACGCGGACACCTTCCATGGCCAGAGGCTACGTACCTACCCGAAAATGGGCACACATATTTTTAACAGTGAGAGAGCATGAAGGGATCCAGAAAACCAAAACAAACGGCATACCAATAAAGCCCACACCACGGCCTTTGCAGTGCGACAGCGCCATGACCATTTCACGATGTCCGCACTCTTTGCTCACTCGATCTTCACGCCTACCTCACGTCGTAGTTCGCGTAAAAATCTCTGGGCCAGTAGTCTACGCAGGTCTTTCTAAGTATGCACACAGTGGTGTAAGCAGGTTTTTCTAAGTAACAATCATATTGGATTCAGTATCGAAACGGATAAGTTGGGGTTGTGGTTAGGGTGAAGGTCTGCACACCCCCTGTCTAGTGGTTTTTCGTCGCAATCCTTGGGAGTTGCAGCTCCCACCAGAACATGAACATCCTGCCTAGAACTGCAGTTCAGAACCCTGGTAATCACGTTCTCTCTTGCGTAGGCAGCCCCTCTGGGCATGCCGATCAACTCTTCAGCCTCAACGAAACGCCTTCCTTTTGCCATCACGTGGCCAGACCTCCACACGACTATTTCGACTTCTACCTATCCTCGGTGTGGAGGATGCCAACAGGTTTCCGAGTCTGGAGCCCAGTGTTGAGGAATGGGCGACATTGTTTACTGCTCCCCACGTGCAACAGTAAAGAAAAGAAACAAAAAAATATCTTTGATTGCTGCGGATCAATTCCCACCAATGAGGAGCTGACCATAGCTGTTTTCTTTGGTTGCCTTTATGAACTCCGTAAAGGCCAGAATGAAATGTTAATGTTAGTGGACGCTGGCGCCCCCTTCAGAATCGGGGACACTGCTTTTGATGGAAACATTGCTCGACCCAGAACAATGGGAAAACAGTGTTGAACCGCAAACATGCTTGAACGGAACAGCGCTCGGAGTTTCAGGGAAGGGCAGAAACGTTTCGATTTTGTTTCCGTAAGTCAACACGAAACGTTTGGAGCCGCAGGGGATTCAACACCAAGCCGCGGGAATTGTAGTGAGATGCAGGTAGCCTTTCACAGTACGAACCTATGCACGGGGGTGGGAATTCGAAAATATAATGTCTATCATACCAGGTACCAATCTAGAAGCACCTCACTCAGAATACACCCAAAGCAATGAGTTTGGGAGTAAACCCGACAACGATCGGAATACACAAGGGCGCGGATGGAATGAGTCGAACCACCCGACAACGTTGGGAGTGATGAAGCGCATGAGTGCAATCACATTTTCTCTAACACGAACCGTCACTGTTGCAAACTACCCGGATGAATACATACATTGTTTTCGACCCCCTCGCCTTGCCCCGCCCCTCCCTCCCTGCCCTCTCTGTTTTCCCCGGCCGCAACAGGTGTTGGCCCTCTGGAAATCAAGTACATATCGCTCATTGGCGAGAGGCACAGCGGGACAACGTGGATGGTGAAGTTCTTGCAAGACTACTTTCGAGATAAGGACATCACGGTCACCGCGACGCTTTGCACGTGGAAGGTAACATGGGCAGGTTGCTTGCATGTTCGACAGAGGTGTTGAGGTGTTATATGGCCATCCCAACCCTATGGCGCGTGAGTTGTACAGCGTGTGTGTGACGTGTCAAGGGCGCGGTGAATTCTTGCAGACAACTACGAGATTTTTTCATTTTTCTACTTGTCCCGAGTTACCCGTTGTTCAGGAGGCGAGGATGATGACGGCAGGTCACGGCATCGCTTTGGATTGCGAGCAGCAAATGTTCTTCTCAAACCTGGAACGAAAGTCGCGAAAAGTCGACACAACCCACCATGCGCAACACCATTATTTGTGCGTCGTACATACCAGGATTCGATTCTCTCCCTCGGAAGCTCGACATCCCGCCCATCCCAATCCATCTGTTCCTCGTCTGCCATATTCCCTCCTCGCACCATTGTCAGCACTGGTTTCAAGATCGCATCTACCAAGATATCCACGACGGCAAAAGGCCGTGCAGAGAAGGGCAGCAGTGCCCCGCGTGCAAGGACATCAACCACACCCTGGTGGTCGCGATGTGGCGGAACCCCTACGACTGGATCAGCGGGATGCACAAGATCCCATGGCACGCTCAGGTGCTTTGCAGTTGTGCTTTTCATTCCGCACAATTCTAGGGTAGGAATAGCTTTGTCGGTGGCCAAAGTGTGGGAGGGCCTCCCTGTTTGTATGTTTTTTACTCGTGTATTCAGTTATCTCTGTACCTCCGTGTTTTTGTTCCGGTGCTCACAAAGGCACATACGCGTATGTAAAGCTAGTCAGGGTAGTCAGTAGTTCCATGACATGCTCAGATGCAGGGGGCACGATTTGTGATGCTGACGTCCACTCAATCTCCGGGTTGGGTTTGTGTGGAGGTGCGCTTGCGCAACAGTAATTAATGGTTGCATTCATGTATCAAATTATGATGACACCTGGTCGACCCAAAATACGTTTCAAGCGTGCATGGTACGAAGTGGTAATTAGCGGGAACGTACGGCACCGTCTTCGCACGTCGAATCCCGTACCTTTCGGCCCTTCAAATTCTCGTGGTTCTTCCAATGCTTGGTTAGCGACGTTGAGATAAATGGGCCGGGTGACGTTTTCTATATCGGTTCTTGTCTATCAAATCCAATAATCAAACTGAATCTTTGTATTCGCCGGATAATTTTTCGGTCGTTTTTGCTCGACAGGCGCATGCTAGCATTCCGGACATGAGCAAGTTTATGACGATGCCATGGATTATGGGCGCCGAGGTTCGTGATCATCGCAGAGCACGTAGACATATTCGCAAGCCCAGGGGCAAAGTCCATACGTCGGTTGGGGCGCAACACGACACGCCGCTGAGGTCCTTGCCACTCCACAGGAGTGGCACCGCCAAGCATCAGACTTTCTCATTCCGTCTCACCCGCATTCTGTGGAGGTTCGCCATACCAACGCCATAGAAGAGTCGTGGTAGCCGATGGTCGCATGCGGACGAGATACCCAATGTCCTGCGTCGACAAATTGAAATCGATTCACGCTTGCTACGGCCAGGTCAGCACTGGCCACAGCAGTTGTCCTTCGAAGTGTGTTCGTCCCAATGTCTTGAAACGCACCGTCACCCGTGTCGCCGACGCCATTGGTATAATTGGTATCCGCTGTTCCTCGTGTTTTTTTCCGTTCCATGGCCGTCCCGCACCCCGACAGCAAGAGAAGCACGCCAGGAAGGAGGCGCTCATCAGGGCCAAAGACGAGGTAAGCTGTGGCAACGATTTGTTGGCTAGTCCTGTGGGATATGTTTTTTCACGATATGGACCTGTATGTCGTCACATCCACCCTTTCCAACTCGTGTCCACCTGCTTGGAATTGTGTCAAACCATCTTGTCTGTGGTGGGTTTCACGCTGACCCTTGTTCCGGGTGCTTCTTTTGTTTTTGCTCCTCGGTTTGAACCCCCGGCAGACGGCACATGTCGATGGGGGACAACATGAATGGTCGTTGCTGGTTTTCTACCCTCCAAATTCAATGCTCATGTTCACTACACTACCGGTTCGAGTACTCCTTACTCGCGCTCTCGCTACCTTTTAATGCTTTTCAAACTCCTCCTCTATTCTGCCGAGCTTTTATTGCGCATTTTGAATTCGGTGCACATCGGCATCCGCGTCGCACCTTCACTTGCTCTTATCTTTGCCCGCACCTTCTTCGAGGTACCCACGTAGATACATTTTCATTGTCGAATAGGCGAACAAAACTGACCCTCGCGGCGAAACGGCAAGCTTTTGCTGCTGTGCACAAGTCACGGGAGATCCGGGGTCACGACTCAGTACGGAGATGCAACCTTTCGATCATCTCGTGTAGAGAAGCCCTCGTGAGTTCATTGCAACAAAGCCGTTGTTGAGGCTTGAAGCCGTATATCGTTATGGTTGTCGCTGGTGCTCTTTTATTTTTTTTCCTTTTCTGATGCGATTCGAGCTGTACCCCTATGTTGTGCGCGGCGTGGCCACACAAAATTATCACCATCTAGATCCTACAACGCCTCCGCCAAACTCACCTGCGCTTTTGGGGGATGCGTGCTATCGCATTTTTTTGGACGAACAATTTCTGTTTCGGTCGGGTTGGACACATCTTTGAGAGTACTACACCGTACGTCGTTTGTTGCTGTTGACGTTGCTGTTGCCGCCGTCATTGCCGCCATCAGTTGCCTTGCATCGACAACTTTTTGCCGTGGGAGGTACTTCCCTGTCGGCCAGGAGACGAGTCCGCCATCTATGAGTTGGACCCGGGCGGAGAGGCGTACGGGAACATCTATGAGCTGCGGAAGGTTGATGATTTTTTGTTTGCCGCAGTCACTTGGGCCAACCTGGCATGTGTTTGGTTATCCCCGATTCCCTCGTCCGGTCGGGTAGATATGCGTTTTGGTGAATCAAGGTGTGTCTTGTTGTTGCCTTGTATGATCTCGCCCTCACAGAACGAAATCCCTCGAGTATGCTCTTCTGCTGTCTGATCCCAATCTTCCCCCGGTGTGATGCGGTCTCTCTGTCTCGCTCGCTTTCGTGCGTCTATCAATAGGGCGTGTGGGTCCTCTGTGACTCCCTGGCCTAAACGACTCTTCTTGCATTCTTCTTTCATTGTCGCCTGCCGGTATGTTTGTCTATGGTAGGGAGCCTCCTGCTTGTAGCGGTGTGTGCGTTCCCCCTCACGTGCCTGCTCGTAACCAGTACTCTCTCTCTCTGTCTGTCTGTCTGTGTGTGTCTCTCTCCCTCCCTCTCCCTATGTGTCTCTCTGTGTGTGCGTTAACGCCAATATTTTCAGGCCAAAATCCTAGATTTTGACGCCGTCAAGATGTGGGCGCCGTTTTATGAGAAGATTCTTTACGAGGACATGCTCGCCAAGGACGGGCTGAAAATGTGGCTCATGTCGCTAGATACACTGTGAGCTAAGATGAGGCAAACCTCAGGGGTTCGGTGTGGCCTTGGCCAGTAGTGGGAGCGTCCCACAAGCAAGGGTTGCAGTCGATATTCTGTGATCACCGCTGCTGTATCCCCTGCGATTCCCAAGGCAAGACCTGTTTGACACGAAGACATTCCTGCCGACCCCCCGCAGCACTTGGTTTAGAGATTTCCGTAGGAACTTTCTCCCGCCGTTCGTCCAGCGAACTCCAGGACCATTGTGCTCTTGACATCAGCTGCTACACTGCTACAACTTGTGGTGACTCTCTTGGACTCTAGGTACGGCTTGGGTGGGAACTACAAGAGCGTGCCGGACAGTGCTCTGGCGGCCAAGATGGAATCGTCTCGAAAACAGATGTACTATTTGAACAGGTGTGGGAAGCTGTTCGTGGTGGTGATGGTAGTGATTATCGTGTCGTTGGGCCTGATGAAGGCATGCAACACCTGGCGAAGCCCCCGTTTTATTCAAAATCCTGCATAGCATAGTTCCTTTTGGCCTTGTCACATCAAGTGTGCACGTGAGACCTGTGGGGTTTGCTAATGTATTGGCCATTTCGTCTCCATCCGCTCGAGCTGAGACTCTACGCGTCCGGCAAGTCGACTTGTGTGCAAAGGCATGGCTACACACCTTACAACCGGCTCCTGCTCAGCCTCAAAGCTCGTGAGCGTTGGCCAAGCCCGTCTAAAACCGGCGGGTATCAAGCTTTTGGATCATACCACCCTTTAGGACTTCGTGCCGAGATTGCGTTGCTGACAATATGCGGGCAGAAAACATGCTCGGGGGTTGTATGAGTGAAAACTCACTCGACCTAAGTCTGGGTGGACACAAGGCGTGGAGATCTGGAAAATATAGTTATGGCGCCTTGTGTGTGTACATCCAAATGCAATGATGTACCGTGGCTGAATCTGAGTACGTGACATTCCGTACTGGTCGCGATATGTTTCACAAGGGACATTCGGACGGAGATCCAGAACAGTCGAATGCTCCCTTGTCTGTCCCTAAGGGTGTCGAAGCGACGGTGGTCAAGCCGCACTTTGGACGAAGCAGCAACAGTAATGTTTCTTTAAGGAGGCGGTCGCGGCCAGGGTTCTCTGTCTGTCGAACACCTGGTTTTTGCTCAATACCACCCGGAAAGGAAGAACGAGAATCATATCCACTGTGAACGCGCCACACGTTTACCTGTCCACCTATACCGTTCCGATCACATGTCGTTGCGAACATACGTACTGTTGTTCGTAATCTGAGCTCCAAAAAGCCAACACCCAATCTCGAGAAACTAGCTCAAGAGGCAGGCAGGAGAGAGAGAGACAGAGAGAGAGAGAAGATGAGGAAACAATTCCAGGCACTTATGACCACCGTCGCTTCGACACCCTTCAGGACAGACGAGGGAGCATTCGACCGCTCTGGGATGCCCATCAATATGCCCGTTATGTATCCCTAGTATCGCGACCAGAACGGAATGCCACGTCCTAGGATTCTACCACGGTACATCGTGTTTTGAATGTATCCGCAGACACTAGCCGGAGGGTTCAAGGGGATTCTGACCTCGCTTGTGGGCATGAAAGCCATCTGAAAATGTCAAGAGCTTTCGAGGGTGAAACATATGCCACACATCGTAGACCTGCTACCGTGGGTATTTGATCTGGTGGGCAACAACTCACCGGAAAATAACTGCAAATATTTGTCTGAAAGGAGTTGAAGACGGCAAAATTAAAACCTCGAGTTCAATGACATGAAAATAGTCAGTCCAAGTTGGTACTGTTTGGAGTCTTCACAAAAGAAAAACAATAACAATTCGTGAACGTGGCCTAGGTAATGCTGACCCGCCCCCCGTCCCTCCTTTTCGGCTTCGCACGCACCGGCCTCCTTTTGATCTGTCGCATTACGAATTACGCAGTCAGCACTGTGCACCGCACTGTAAGATGGGAGGTGTGGCGGGAAGAAGCGCTTTGGAGACGATGAACCGACTGTGGGACGAGGAGCTTGAGAAAGACCTCGGTTACCACCAAGTGCGATAGCACAGCGGCCTGAAGCTGCTGCCAGCCGAAGCCGAACTGTTCGCGGACTACGGATGGCTTTGTGGCATGCTTGGAATGTTTTCTACAACATGGAAGCTCCATCGGCCAGCTTGAAGTCTACAACTTCGAGCTAGGAATTTTGAGGACCAAGGGCCAAAGGTGCGGTGTCACCAGTTGGAAGGTGCTCGGAATATGTGGGACAAGGGGCTTGGGCGAGGCGTCTAAGGCCACCCGCTACCAAGCGCGATAACCCATCTCAGAGGCGTTATGCAGGTTGCGTGGCCTGCTGCATGTTTTTTCCGACGCGAGGGGATCAAAGTATTTCGAGAAGCCATACTTCCCTCCCAACATAGAGAAACGCGGGGTGGCTCACGACATGCTCATCGTTCCAGGTTTGCTGCCCTGTAGCCTAGGGTTCGCAGATGCGTGATGTACACAGTGATGCACGTGAGTGGTTTACCTCGTTTGGTGGTGTACATGGGCTGTTTGTGCTGAGTTTAGCAACGTCGCGACTCCTCGTCTTGAGTATTGAGGGATGGTGATTTTGTACGTATTGGTGTCACACGTAGAAAATTTATCTAGTCATGATGTGATGGTGTCTTCAACTTGTTGTCACTGCTTGATTTTCATTTCTAAGACCGGCACGGTCTCTAGAGGTTTCACCGCTCCCTAAGACAAAAGTGAATGATCAGTATCAGTCGGAAGACCCGGACCATGCACTTTTTTGTGCAAACCGCCGACGCGCGACAAGCCGCCCCACGGACCATCCTGCACTACTGTACACGCCCTCAGCAAGTTTCAACTCGATTTGTTCCTCCTGCGTGAACGCTTGGCTGTGTCGGTGATCGGCCCATCTCAAGCATGGAAAGACGAGCACGCCGCAAGTGCTTGGACGCGAAATTTGTCCGATTCCGGCTAATTCTTTGCGTAAACGTAGCCTATCCGCCATCAAAGTAAAGCCCCGTTTAACCTACGCCAAGATAAGCACCTTCTTCAAGTCCGGGATGGCTGGGTGTCTCGTAGCCTACCAATCAGGAGTTCGGTACACATCTCTGCCACCTGCCCCGAGGAAGCTTTTCCGCCGCATTTCGAACGGGTACATGTATGGATTTTGAGTTTGTCGCGCAATGAATCTTTTGGAGCCCCTTTTATTTTGGCTGCCGAGCACGATCCCGTAACATGACAACGACACCGACTTACCATACAACGACAAATTCTTCGGAACGCTCATTAGGCCCTTCTGACGAATCGAGGCTGGGGTATGAGTACACGGTTTTGCCGGGTGGTTGAGGATCAGATGTACGTTGTAGGATGATGCCTACATGTCCCAAGCAGTATTATCATCCCAAACTACTGTAGAGAGTTTGGATTTTCCACCGACTTCGGACACTGTTCCATTATGGGCCCTCTCATAGCCTCTCGGGAACTCTCGGGAAATCATCTCCGACATGGGTCGCGAGATGGAAGAGCCCCAACAGTATTGGAATTATTGGAAGTTGGTCACCGGCGGAGATGATCAATGAAGAACCGCTCCATTTGTGACGTGATGTCATCGTCTGGTCTAATGCATTTGGCTTGCGCATATGCGAATCTAGGCGGACTTTCTGAGGAGGGAGGGAGCAGTTGATGGCAATCGATCGCCCAGCAGCGAGGGGGGAGGGCGGACCGCGAGTACACCATACAGTACCACAGTCTAGTCTATGTTTCGATGTTGTAGAAAAGAGGGCATCACCCTGCTCAGCTTTCGCGATTCCTCGTCACTGATTGGTGTAAGTGGTTGCGCCGCGCCGTTCTCATGACAACAACCCTCAAGTGAGTGGATTGAATTGACTTTTTTTTTTCCGGCTCACACAGCAAATTGACCCCATTGATGATCTTCTTACTATCGCAAAATATGGATAGAAATCACGGCAAAATTTGCAATTCCGTACTAAAGATAGAGAGGGTTTATCGCGCATGCTATCGTGCATCTAGTCCCGAAAACCCTTTCCGTTGAGCGAAAATTGCACACAGCACACGAACCTCCTTCACTCCCAATATTCTGGCTCACGCACGCCGCAGTCGTGACCTGCATCAGGCACCGAGGCACTACGTTGGCGTCGGCTCCGGTGTGCGTTATCTCAGCTCTCCATCTCGCAAGCGTGAACCGGGTTGATCACATGTTGAGGGTGCTGTATCTTCCCTCCCGTGGTATTTTCTCTTTGGATCGTACAGCAGTAGGCGGTAGGTTGGGTCCGGAAAGAAAGGATCACATCAGAGACATTTTCTGCTGTACAAATGGTGGTACTGCGTGTACCTCTGCACACATTACTCACTTGCGTGCTTCTGTGGTGGGCTACCTCTTGGTCTCTCTGTTCGCCTTTACGGCGCAGGTTTTTTCTCGTTAGCGAGGCACGCCAGCGACCTTTCGGCACAAAAAGTTTTCGTACCATATCCTATAGACCACCTCGCCGTACGACACGTGTCCATGCACAAACATACATACAGTGTTGGCCAATTGGCCAGCGGGTGTGCGATGAAGACATGGTCGTGCTGTAACGGTCCCAAGCAGTGTCCATGTCGACAGCATGAACGAAGTTCGGCACAATCCACGATCCATATTCCGACGACCATGATCCGACGACGGGTAAATGTTCCTCCGCGTTCCTCCGCGATACGGGGCGATCTTTCATTCCAACGTGCACCAACATGGCATCCACCCTCACCCCAAGCCAAACCTGCGTGCTCAAACAACATGCCCTCAGCAACAGAAGTGGAGGGGTGGACGGGACCACGGATCGGATGGATCCGACGGGTATACGTTTCATTCTACAGCCGACCAGCCACCGCGGACCATGGCGCAGGCGGACATAGCATACCGAGGCATGTGTCGCACAACGGGACTGTTTGTCCATGCTCATGCTCGGGCACACCACAGTCTGGGTGATTGCTGCACTCCATGGTACATTGTATCGCAAGGTCGAACACCGCTGGCACGACCGTTGGCACGGCAGTCGACCTCAGTCGGTGGTCCCGCAGTAAAATAAACCTCGGCCAGTGGTCCCGCACAGCACGCTGGCCAGTTTCATCGTGTTGGCGCAGACCAAATTGGTGAGTTTTGAGCGACAGGGTATATAGAAACAAGGTGAGCACCGTGGATATGAGCAGACCCTAGAATTGTTTGGCTGGCACAAAGTGTTTCAGTCTTACAGATTTATCTGTCTCTTCCAGCGGTGGTCTTGATTGGGGGTTTGGCTGGCACAAAGTGTTTCAGTCTTACAGCAAGTGTCTGTCTCTCATTCTTTCCCCAAACTCAAACAAAAACACCCGGGGGGGTATCCAAACAACTCCCCCACCCCCCACCACACCACCACACACCACCACGCCACACCACCAAAATCGGAAAAACTGGAACTGCGACATTGCCATATCGTACTGCTACTGTATCGTGCATTTAGTCATCAAACAAGGGTTAACGTGCGGAACGGCACATCTGCACGGGAAGAATCGTCAGGGCGTCACGGGCTCTCGAGCTGGGAGCATGCAAACGTTGACCCCTTCGCAACTGGCACTCATTCCACTTGTTGCACTCACGTGCCGGCCACACTCACTCCAGAGTGCGTCATCATGTGGTTAGTCTCCCGACCGTTTTACCGAAGCGCGTCATGTCTCAATATATACATATCGGTAATTGTTCTATCAGATCTCCCCGTTGTCATTTGGTGGCTACCAAGTCTACAGATCTTGCCTGATGCTATAAAGAAGAGAACGGCATGCTCCGGGTTCTAACAGATTAGAACGACGCTCCGTTATCATCGTCTACAGGACTTTTCCGGCTTTCCTTGGCTCCGGCTGTTCAAAATTTCCACAGAAAATACAGGTGCGAAAAGAAGGTTTCGGATCTTTCTGGTCTGCGAACAACAAGTCGGGCCTTCACATGCATCGGTTGATTCAATTTAGCAATTTAGCATCAAAACGTTCACTTTCTCCCTTGGCCCCATTGATGGACACAAGTAAATTCATTTCAGGTATGGTGAACCATGTACACCAGACAATATATTTTTGACGTCATGATATCCACCACCCGTTGACGTTCCCCAAAAAAGCATGATCGGTCGATTCCGCCGTACATACTACTACGAGAGAAAAAAATCCAAAGTCTAAATTGCTTCTCCGGGTACAGAATGCACTTGATGTGTCGGCGGATACACCTACTTGCCAGCAAATTACTGTTTTCGCTTTCACCAGAATGTTCCCCAAAGGTACGATGTCGCTTCTACCTTCCACCCCATCCAGCAGCATTCGTTTCCAGAGGCCTTGGCCATTCCATGCACCAAACAGCCGTAGTTATATTACCAGTTCCCGCTATCGCTATGCGTGGCATCTCTTGAATTTCCGTTTCGTGTCACCTTCAGCATAAAACGCCGAGGTGCGTGTTTCGCAGCCTCCCCCGCCCTAATCAACTGCTCAACCCGGCTATGCGCCTCATACGTGGGACTCTGTCGGGAAAGCAAATCTGATTGCTATTTCCCACATTTCTCGCATCGATCGGCAAGGTTGAGAGTAGCTGCAGCGAAAATTGCAGGATCCTGAAGTGAATTTACCTCGTCGAGTACCGTCGACCGTGTCAAACCAGACCCTTTAAGAGCAGTATGTATTTCACTACCCCCGCTAAAGAATGATTCCTACCATACGTTTTGAGGTTCTATGCCCGCAAATGACCTGACCCACTGCGCCTAAAATGTGGGGCGGCTTTGGACCATTGTTCATTTTTCCTCGGTGGGCTTCCTTCCGTTTGAACCGCCGCGAAGCTTTCTCGCCACCTGAACGACTCCGGGGGTTGCGGGGCCAAAGTCGATATCAACACCCACACCCCCGTCGCCAATTCTCGAGTTGGCTCCATCGGCGTTTCCGGGATCTTGTTGAGTTTCTTGTGTTTCGTCGTCGTTGTCGCCCTGAAGACCGGCTAGAACGTTGCGCGGCAAGAGGGCCTCAAGAAGTTTGAGGGCAACGCCTCCCACCAGGCTGGTCTTGCGAAGGTTAGTCCACCGTTTGTTTTCCTGCTGTTCGAGGGCCTCTCCTGGTTGTTCAGCAGCGACCTGAGCCGACTTCATCCGGTACTGCGACCCGGGAGACGGTTGATGCAGCTGATGCTCCATGCCGGTGAACCTAGGGCCCTGAGCCATCTCCGAGAAATGCTGCATTTCTGTAAGGTGTGTGAAGTATTCACTGTCCGTGTCGAGTGGCGGTGTCCCTTCCTCCACCCCATATTCTCGCTGGTCGTTCAGTCCACCGCCAACCTCATGCGCCGCTGCACCCACGGCCACCTCGTGTTGATCGTGCGCAAAGAGTTGATAGTTGTCTGCGAATGAATCAAATTGAAAGTCTTCGTCATCTTCGTCCTTCTCTTCTCCCACGTTAGTAACAGAAGCATCACCCCCGCCTGGTTGTTTCCTGATAGAATAGCGCTGCTCCCAGGCGAAATATCCCTCGCTCTCATCGCTTTGGTCAAACGGGTCATTCGGATAGAAGTTTGGGAAGCTGGACCACTGTTCTCCTGCTTTTTTTTTGTGCTGCCCCCCCTGCTCTACCAATCTATCATTCCAGCCTCGAATAATCGCAAGCATATGAGCTCGCTGGAGACCTACATCGCCGTCAGTGGAGGAGGAGCTGCTCCAGTCGTCCGTTTCCTGTTCAACCGCAACCCCTGCCGCATCCGCATCGGCCTGTCTCTCTTGACGCCATTCGGCGAAGATGGGGTGGCCATCGTCATCTTGCAAGCGTCCGGAGTACCCATCTGGGGTCGAAGTCACCTGCCCGTTTTCCGCTTCTCTTGTTGAACTCGACACGATGGGAGTTTCGTCGCTGTACGTTCCCCCAGCCGAAACTGCTTGTTCCCCTTTCGTTGTTTCAAAGTCGCCGATTGCGTACAAGGAGTACTCATCAGCATCGTCCGTCTCCGGGTTGATGGCCACCCCTATGGATTCCCCCACGTTCATGGCCTGTTGTTCTGGCTCAACCTCACTATTGGGCTCATACAAAGCGGGGTCTTCGTAGTACGGGAAATCATCCTCAACGTCAGTGCTCAAGGGATTCCATGTCCAGCTTTCCTCGTGCACCTCCTCCGCCGCCTCTTCCGCGGGCACCTCGGGGGCGTGGTTTTCCTTTCTCTCATGCATCCACTGGCGAGCAATGTGGATATAGAAGTCGTCGTCGAATTCCCAAACGTCCGGGTCCACGTCCTCTCCCGCTTTGACGTCCCTCTCCCTTCCTTTCTGCTGCGGCTGTTCCTCCGGACCACTGCCGCCGTGGTTCTCCTTTCTGCCGTTCCTCGACTCTCGAGCAATGTTCAAATAGAAGTCGTCGTCGGCGTCCCAAACGTCCGGTTCTTCCGCCTTGACGTCCCTCTTTCTTCGCGGTTGCTGCGGCTGTCCGTGCCCCCCACTGCCGAAAGTAGTGCGCCCCCTGGGACGCGGTTCGTAGCCCGTGACGTGGTCGATGGACGACTCGCGGTTGAGAACGCCTTCATCGGTGGATTGTTGTCCCACGTTCATCTCTGTCGGTGTTCCGTCCGCCCGGAAAAAGAACATGCCATCGTCGTCAACACGCCACTCTCCGTACGGGTCTCGCTGCTGATCCCAATGCATGCGACCGCCATCTTCTGTGGGAAGAGGGCCCTCCTCCGTGTGAACCATCTCACCGTCTTGAGCGTAAGCGCCGTTGATTTCGGGGTTGAGAGATTCCGCGCCAGTATGAACGTTGTCGGGGAGAGGAGAAACGTTTCGGCCTTTGTTCTCCCCTTCCTCCGTCCTTCCCGGCCACGTTGCCCTCCGTAAAACGCTATCGTCGTCGGTGGTATATTCATCTCCCTGCATGAGGTCGAAGTCCTCCTCACCATGATCGGCGGACGGATTATTTGAGACAATCTTCTCTTGCTTCATGGCCCCTTCTTGCTGCCGCTCGCCGGCGTTGTCAGGGTAGGGGACTCGGGGGAAATGGTCTCCTCGCCCGGACATGACGTACCCGTCGTCCGAGAGGCGCCACAAGATCGCGTCATCTTCCCAGCTGTCGTAGTAGGGGAATAAGTCATAGTCAGCGCTGTACTCATCCTGGGCAGCATTCTCCTCTCCTTCCGTATCCTCGGTTTCCGCCTGTCGCTCTTGTTTGCCCCCATCGCCCTGGGGTTTCGAAAATGGCATCCCCGTGCCTCCTGGCCCCGTTGACGCCTTCATGGCCTCGTGAATCCAGTTGCGGGCCGCGTCGGCTATCTTTTCGACCGGGGGTAACATCGCTAACCGTCTCGAGGCTTTATCCCCCGCGCCTACCGTCTCCTCTGGATGAACGTTCGTCTGCGGGGGATTCATGCCGATAACGGGCGGCGTCGAAACGACGTTGCTTTCAAGCGCGCCAACCTCCTGTAGTCGATGGTCCGCGATGGTACCAGGAGGCGATAGATCGACCGCAACACCGTGTGCGGTAGTGACGCCACTCGGAGTGCTGGCGATGTCGACCTGATTCTTCGCCTCGAGGAGCTTCCTGTATTTGGCGGCGAAGAGCGTTGATCCTCTTGGTATGCGTTGAGTTTTGTTAGGCCGAGCCAAATGTTGCTGAGGAGAGTTCTACGGCAACGTATGACCTGTGTTCTTGGCATAGTGCGTGTCAACGACGTAGGATGGCTAGCGGCAGTTGCAAGACGTGAAAGCGGCCAGTACACCGGAGAACGGGTTGGAAAGCCCATGCACTGCTGACCAGGTCTTCCAAGAGGTAACGCTGATGGGCATCCACGTCCATCTGGCACAACAAAAGGGGAACTGAATCCTTATCTCTCACCCTCGCATCCTGGATTGCTCCAGCAAACAGCAGAGCGCCTTCAGTGTGAAGAAAAGTGCCTCGTCCTACAAGCGCAATACCAAGCCTCAGTTCGCCGCTACGAGATCGGTTACTCCAGTGACGTTCGGCTGGTCGGTTTGTACTTCCGATTGCGACCACCAATACTTTGCGATGCGCCCCCCCCCATCGAGAAAGGTTAACATCTAGTATTCCTATGGGTTGGCAAGACATCAAACCACACAGTAAACACAACACCCACCTAACGAGGTTGATGATTTCACCGACGTTCGGTTCATAATGGCTGTCGCATAATGCGTCGACGCTCATGGTGTCGCTAAAACCGAGGTGTCTCGCGTATACGTGTTGCAGCTGTAACAACACCACACCGCGCAGCACCGGAGGGGGAATTGGCGGCAGCGGGAAGGTTTGAGAGGACGGGGTTGTTTTGTCCACGTTGGTGGCAAGAAAGATCTTATCGCAAGGAGGGTAAACAATCAACGGGATGAAATCGAGGGAAACTCTGTCTGTTTGCATGCGTCCACCAGGGTTCAATTCCGCTTTGAGGGTATCGGCATCAAACGGTCACCACTTGATCGAAAAGGCCAGACTTGAGGATCCTCTGGTCTGATTGTTCAAAGTCAAAGCAGCAAAAAATCCGCCTTTGACAGTACGACAGAGATATTGATCGGCTCGAACACTTGGATATTGATCCCAGCAATGAACTCTTCAAGGAGAGCGCAGAGCGATACAAAGAAGTATTTTAGTTCGGTGCCGACCCTAGGTATACGGGTGAAGGCGTCGTAACCCCCTCACACTACACCAGCACGTGGACACAAAGAAACACGCCACCATCCACAAAAAAAAGCCTAGACAATTTTACGGCACGTCTTCCTCGATTGCGCTTACCTTCACGGCAAGGTGCATGTACCCGCTTGAACATGTCGGCGGCCCTATCTCAAGCACCGGAGTGTTTAGGGGCGACACAATCATGGCAGACAACCCCGCGGTGTGGGGGGCCACGATCAGGGAGGCCACCGCGAAGGTGTGCAGCTGCTGCAGCGCGGGACTGTCGCTGAAGGACTCTACCACGTCGTACTTCGGGAACTTCGTCTGTAGAGCCTTCCGAATCTGCGTTGTTGATTGTATCGCCATGGGCGGAGCGGGTTGGAAATACGAAATTACGCTATCGTTTTAGCACGCGGCTTTTCAGACGATTGTCGGCAAGATGACTGAACAGCAGAAGTGGGGGCATGCGGAAATCCTCACCGCTACTCTCAACAACAACAACAACAACAACAACATAACGAGCCATTTTTACCTGGTCGTGGTTTCTCAGCCCCCCCTCCTTCTGGCGCACGAGTACCAAGGTGGGGGGGCGGGTTACTGGGGGAGGAACTCCCGCGCTGCTCGGATACATCCCCTGCAAGAACACCGCGACGACAAGGCCCAGTACGCATGTGTGGTACACAGGAAGACGATGGTTTCGAGGAATAAAGCCACTGCCTTGACTCATGGTCAACGTAGGACAGTTGGCCTTGTGATCTTGTTGTTGGTTGGAGTGATCTTGTCGAACAACGGCTCAAAGTTTCAACAAACGGCCAACACTCAGACATTCGTGGGTGTTTTAAATGAAGTATGATGGGTGTTTCAAGGCTAACGTGACCGCAACACATCGAGGGTGGATTCATCGGTACAGTACATTCAGACATAACAAGGAACGCCACGATGGCTCAGACAGGTGTATGAGGTACAGAAAACCTTGGAGGGCCTTCCGAGTTCAGTTCAGGACATTTCCGTGCGAACTATGTAACCGGGTTTCACGCTTGACGCGTACAACCTTTGTGAGCCAAGTCGACGGCATATTTCGACGAGTGGCGCGAACAAAGAGTGCCCTTCTTGAATGCGATATTTTAGTTTTTCCAGCTGTATGCTACTGCAACTCACCAACGAGCAGGTGTTGGGCGTATCCGGTGTGCTCGAATAGTTCACTTCAAGTGTTCCAACAACGGCAGGCACCCTCCGAATATCGGCTGCGAAACTGTCGGGATGAAGACTGCATAGATATCCCCTATAGTACGAATGCCCTGGACCACTTTTTGGCGGTGCGTCTACTCATTCCGCGTTAGCTTGGCCTACTCACCTTCAGCAGAGCGGACCTCAGCATGTTGACCATCGCGGTGTTGGGCGTTTCGCATGCGGTGGACTCCGGCAGAATTGCTAGATCTGCATGAATCTGAAACAGGCCGGGTTCCGAGGACGGTACGGGCAGCCACTTTGAAACAACTTTTTGGGCAAGAATTGCGCCTCTTCCGGACCTGAAAAAGAGTTTCAGGGCCACACATATCGTCTTGCTACGACCAGTACGACCGACCTCCTTTGCTAAAGCGAAGACCAAGTTTCCGCCACCAATGTTTGCCCGCAGAGGAGCTAAGGAAGCGAGTCTAGCTTGAATTACGAGGACGGACCAACCATCGGATTCAGGACTGCAAGAGAAAACATGCGATATTACGAGGTCGCGTTCAACCACAAGACCGAACGTTCTCCGGGAGAATTGGCCTGTCAACTACCCAAGTAACTTTCTCGGTGTACCTCCGTGTCCACAAAGATGAGGCGCTCTTCCTGTATACCGAGAAGCGCCATGAGCTCAGATGTGTAGTGCTTGCGGTCGCTCCAGGTCGGTGGTGGAGCATGCACCGCAATCTTGGGAAAGCACAAAGAAGAGGACACACGTGGAGATTTGTAGCAAGCCCGGGAAAGGAACGCCCAGATTCGGAACGGGCTAGAAAATGACGCTGTCTGAGTGCATTTTCTTCGGCGTTTCGTTCGGGTTTCTCGCCGATATTCTATCCGCAACATCTCCATATTGTGTTCGCCGACAACCGTCCATTGTGCTTCATTGAGACGAGTGCCGTACGGTAAATGATACCACGCAGTGATTCAAACCCGCCTCTGCAGTTGCATCCGCACAGGAAATCCAGCTGGATGCGCTCATAGCCAACCACCAACGTTTTTACTTCAACAGAGGCTTGGCTTGATGCCCTGAATAGCCACCAACGCGGGCAATTTTCCGACTATTACAATGGGCTGCTGACGTGTGCGAGGTCCATCCCCCAAATGCATGCAGCTACCGAACACATGAACCCTGTGTGTTGTAAGGATGATTCAATAACCTTGTCTGATGTGTAGTAACACTGTGAGGATGTTTTAATAATGTCCAGCACGCTCGTTGATTACGGTCACATATTTACTTGCGGCCTATCTCATATTGCCCCTGTGATGTTTGAGTCCACTGTTGCATCTTGGATTCGATGGTGCCGTGCTAAGGAAAAGAGAAGGGCACCATGTTGGTACTTCCCCCAAAGCTTTCTCATACCTTGATCTCGGAGTTTGCCAGCAGGACGTCCAACATTAACGTCACTCGAGGCAGGCACTCCGACAAAAAGTGGAAGTAGGCATCTCCCCAGTGCTGGGTGATCACGAACACCTTCACGTGTACCCATGAGGTTCATGCATCCAGCAGGAAAGCGCGCCGCGTCACGTGGATTAGACTGATTGTCAGGAGGAAGCTACAATGAACAAGGTTCATCCTGTGATGATCATCTGTTAAACGCTGCATGAATCATCGCCACCATTGTAGCTGTCTCATCCTCAAGCTACCGTGGTGAAGAACGCGGTTTGAAGAATAACTCCGTGAGGAAACGCGAGAGATAGAGGAACAAGTTTTGCTGCAGGGGTCACGGGGTGGTTCTATGGGGGCTGGCAACCCCGTTTCGACCATTGAGTGTAGAACAGCCATCAGCCTCGAACGGTACATGGAGGACGTTTCAATCGTTGCACTGCTGATAGCACACCTTGTCGTGCCGCGGAGCATTCCTTGGTAGAGACCATCTCGCCGAGGAGCCATCGAACTCGGCAGACCCACAGGACTTCGGCACAATGTAGTTCTGTTTTCGAACAGACAGGAGAGACACGGATATTTCGAACATTGTCGATCCATGGTACTTCTTGTTTCCTTGGGAAAAGCTCCTTGTCTCCTATAGGAAACGCTTGTCTGTTGAAGCTGAACATCGAGCTTATGGAAGAACCGAGGGCACAAGACACCGAGCGTCATCACCCATACGGCCTAGACAACTTGGTGCAAACCCTTTTCGTACCTTCGAGCGATGTTTTTCCAAATAAATTTTCTGACTCTGTCCTTCTTCCAAGTTTACAAGCACAACTACATCGGGCGGAATCGTCTCTTTTGACCGTGCCAGTTCAAGGACAAACTTGAGGTTGGCCTCGCCTTTTCGTTCCAGACGTAGCCCGAGGAGTTGATGAAGACATCGGTGAGGCTTACGAGGGTGGGTACGCCCTCGTACCCGTTGTCACTGCTGAACGATGAGGCCATATCGACGTCTGGTCCCGGGTAGTACACACTTAGATGCCTACGTACGAAAACGCGGAAAGACGTTCGGAAAAAGCGTTTCTAGGTGGCTCTCAGCAAATCACAGGTACGAGAGGGCTAGCGCAGAGCACGACGTTTCTGGGCTAGTTTGTTGCTGCCAAGGGCTCAAACTCGGGACATGTGTTTCATCTACAGGGGTGGCGGTATCATGATCATGGTGAGAATTTATCGGCTGAGATCTTACAGGTGTGACGAAACCGGAAGGACTCGTGCCGTAGTGTTGGGGTGGGCCGTCACAGTCATACGATAGGATCGGCAACGGCGCATACGTGTATGCCTAGAAGTTTGCAATGGTTGTCATGAGTCGTAATGAGTCGTCATGAGACCCCATTGGTATTCCTTGGTCGTCATTCGTCGTGTCGGGCCGCTCATGGGCCTCATGGGCCGTCCAACTATTTGAACCCGTCGGACGTCCCAGGGACGCCCATGGCCCATCGCGGGACGCCCATGCGTTCCATGGGTTACCCATGGGTTGCCCGTGGGCCGCCCGTGGGTCGTTTTGAGGCGTTGTTTAGGAAGTTTTTTCGTTATAGTGTAACCATGTCTACGATGTTTCATAGCGCCGATCCATGCGTCTATGCGTGAATAGTGCCAATATTGTACGGTAAATACCATGCCATCAAAAGAAACACCCCCACGGAAGTTGCCATATTTCCGGCAGTGGTGCTGGTTCCCTCTCGAACGTTATCACGGTGGTTTTTTCATAGCACACTCCTCTCCTCTCAATATTTGTCTGTAGAACGCTTTTGTATGAATGAAAAACAATTCAAAGTTGTTGCGCTGCACGACCTACTAGTCCATGAAAAGTCTACCCAACTAGATGGCCTAAAGCGCAACACCTCCACAACACGAAGCGTTTCTCACTTCCCGGCGGTCTCTCCTCCGTCCCGAACAGCATCCAGGAATGTCACCAAACTCCTAACTTCGGGTACATGCCGCACCTCTTCTCCGAGCATTGCCCTTTGATTCGACAGAACGAGAGCATGATCGAGCTGAATGCAGCGGATTTTGAGGTTTTTGTGGCTTTTTCTTCGCGCAGGATAACGACACTAAGACTGACCTGATTGTGGCTACTGCTTGCCGGGATTTCTGATGGCCGGGAAAAAGTTCCCCTGCTTTCGTACGACTGACCTATTTTTCCTCGGATAGCTCCATAAGTGTTGGGTGCGATTGAAACAAACAATAGGCACCTCCTTGGCCAGACTACTTGTGGCTTAGTTCACTGCAAGTACGATTCAATCGAGGTGATCTCTGCCCCAACCGTTCACATGCGCGATAACTGGTTCGTTACCTCGATGCTTTGGTCTCATGCGTGGCAGTGAAGATTGCGAAAAGAAGGGTTCCCCTCTGTTGCCGATATCTACAGCTTTCACCAATGGTGGGGTATCTGGAGCTCCATACCTGGGAAAGAGGGAGCTCCTGAAGATGGGAAAGTACGACCTCAACGTCTCGACAAAATCCAACCCGTTGGCTGGTGTCAGGATACCAGGACGTGCTGTCAGCTCTGGCCTTGTGACGACCACCGCACCCCTGACGCGCGATACTTCATTTCGGAGGTCACCGTTGTCGGTGAGCATGTGCTTTCCCTGTAAACGAGCAGGATGTCACAGCCGCAGAGGGGTTGGTACTGAGGTGTCAAGCCAGACACCAGCGGGAGTAGTTTCGCTTGACGTGGGTGGTGTCTGTCTGGAACGAAACGTGTACGCAAAGCTGATCGACATGTTTCTGACAGAATAAAATTTGTGCCGGGGATTGCACGTTCGTGCGGCGAAACCCAGCATTGCTCACGTCTTTGCATGGGTTGCTTGGGCAAATGCTCTTCAAAGATGTGGCCTCTTGAAGCCAAGCCCACACGTTGGAGCCGTCCAAACCACGGGCTCCATCTAGGTCGACAGGGGACGAAGTATCGGGCAAGACGGGCGTAGCTGGTGGTACGTGCGACGCAGCATCACCACCAGCAACGCGACCATCAACTCTCTCGTCTTCATCACCGGTATTTTCCACGCCGATTTTGGCAGACAAGGTAGTGGCATCAGCAACCGGCAAAGACGGCGCTTCAGCAGCAGCAACCGCTGTGTCGATGCTCCCCTCGACACCATTAGTTTCCGGTGATGCAAGCTTGGCAGAGTTTGTCGTGACCGGTGAAAATGCGATGTCTACGTGTTCGTCCGCTCCGTTAGTTTCTGGTGTGAGGAACGCGGGCTGTTCACGCGTGACCTGCGGTTGTTCCGCAGGTTCAAGCACTGTTGAGGCAGCGTCGAGTTGGTGCGTGGGGTACTCTCCGACAAGCTCCTGCTGCTGGTTCGGTTCCGGAGCAGTATCGACCAGCTTGTCCAGCTGGCTCTCACCCGCTTGTCCCCTTCCCTCGACCGATTTCACAACGAAGGTCCCGGCATTATCGCGTTCATCGGCGGTCGCGGCTAGGGCGACGCCGGCGTGAGCGCCAGCGTCTGCTTCCGCCAAAGAGTCCCCGCCAGGAGATCGGTCGTCCCCCGTGAACTTCGTGATTGCGGGTAAAACGTCGGTGGCGACTGGGTCTTCAGCCTTGTCCGTTTCGATGGCAGCTGATGCGATTTCATACGATTCACCGGCGACCGGAGCGTTCAACTGGCCCACTTCAGCACCAACGGGATGGCTACCGGTGCCACGTACATCGCGTAGATTTTCTGAGTTCACTCCTCCCGTGGGAGATAGAGGCGGCATGGGGTCTGTTCGTTCCGCAATAGACGGGGTACGAACACACGGAAAGGGGTGGCGGCGACTGTCGATTCTGTACAGTGGTTGCACGCTTTTTGCCACTATTGCCGCAACTTCACTTTTCAACAGGACAGCTGGTCTCCATCTCTGAAAGGGATAGGCGAACGCGAGGGCCTAAGCTTGAGCACTCGCCAAGTCTGTCGAGACGAAAATGTACCTATGGCTCCAGTTTCCGACAGCAAGTCAAATAGCCGCGTCCAGGTGTACATTGGCGCACGCACAGATAGATTACAATAGTTGCGAGGTGAAATAATGTGTGCGTACAACCGACCCCCCTCTTTCAGTGCTTGCCACTTTTACGCTGATCTTCTCACCCTGTTCCTCGCCGACATGTGCTACGCGGCGCAGTTGCTGGTTCCCGCCGCCAGGTTTTAGTGTCACGCCATCGGGTAAGGCTGCCGACTGTTCCCTCTTACCAGGCGCGTAGAAGGTCGACTCAGCCTGCTGATACACGACATCCGTGTCGGAAGGTAAACCTCCCGGCGCCTAAGAGATACAGACGTTTGCAAACGGCACTGTCAATGGGTAAATGCTACAGATTGGCGAAGGGTAGAGGGAGTAAGGGGTTCGAGGAATGACAGGCTAATAAAAGCCAAGTGTTTTCTGCAGCGTTTCACGTCGGTCTGAATCTACACCTCTGGTTCTGATGGGAACTGAAGGGTGGTTAGAGCTCAAGGTACCGCTGCCAACATATGGTAGGGAATACAGTGGATGGACCAGCGGTAGAAAACAGAACACATGCACAGACGGGGCGAGAGAGAGTATGAGAAATAATGCAATCTCAGGGCAGGTGGCAGCGCCGTTGCATCTTTTGCTGTTCGGAGTGGGCGAAGGAGGGTGGTATTGGCAACACGGAAATGGATGCCTGACGAATAGATACAGGCCCCTCTCTCGTTGAAGGCTCCCCTATAGTTTCAATAATTGTTTCTTAGGCGGGAACGCTGTTGGCAATTACTAGGTTCTGAGGATCTAAACAACCTCAAGGAGGGTGCGAAATCAGCGTTGAAAGGGGAAACGACGCACAGGACGGAGGCTCAGGCGAAATGACGCAGGCGTGCTACGCTCGAAACACGCGAGCCCATTGCTATTGTCATTTCTTCCCACAGCATACGGTCTCGTGCCTACTTTACGTTCAGTGGAAATGTGCGTTTGTACGTACCACAATAATAGCATTTGCAAAAACGTGTTAACACGAACAAGTCACACAATCGCGAGGCCAATTGAGCCAATTCAGCAACAGCCGAAAAGAGAAACCGCCTGAAACTCCGCACCCTCTTTCTGTACCAACACAGGGCATCTACCCTTGACGCTCAGACACCGGTGGGATGGGCTTCTTTTGTAGACTATTCACAGCGATACGAGAAGGACTAGGTGTGTGGCAAGCCTACTATCGAACGTCATGTTCTCACCTCGCCCCAAATATACACGGGATTCACGACCATGGCTATTCCCCCGACACCCACCAAGATCTTCAGCATAAACCATACCGCTGGTGTAAGCTCGGAGCGCCTGGGGATTAGCTGATGGACGGTAGCAGCGTATAGGACCGACCACAATAAACAAAATATTGTCTACACGCATGCAACGGATCAGAAGGCCACGGTACACGTCTTTTTCACAGCACCTAGACTATGTATGGATACAAGGTGTGCCAAAAAAATATGAACAATTGCTTCGATCACACGTTTCAGCCATGTACCACATTCGGAAGCCAAGTGGTCTGGAGAAGCAGCCTAAAATGGCCATCGTGCTATTCGTGCGTCATACAAGCAAAGGTCTGGAGAAACATGGCCAAAGGGTGGCCGCCGTGCTGTTCGTGCGTCATATTATGTACCGAAGCGGCTATAGACAGGTTGTGCGATAATACATGTAGGTGCTACTTCATACTGCTGTCGTGCTGCTATGAACTACAGTGATTTGACTTCTGCATATTGGCCTCTGCTTATTAGAGTAGACTGGAAAAATGCAATTGTTGTTTGGTCTCGGTACAACTGAAGTACATCCGATAACCAGGATTCGATTGGTGAACACGTTTACATAGTCTACATACACATGCGTCCGACGACCGATTCGAGGTACACCCTGCAGAGGTCGCTTGATATTTTGGCACTACATAAAACAATACATATCATCTTACATCGACGGCATTGCCATCCATAACGGTCGAATCAAAAGCAACAGGAAGCAGTTTTCAAGGTGAGCCGTCCGCTAGTGCACACGCGTACAGCCCACACGCGACCAAGTCGAACCTTGACTTTGCGCTGTGTCTCCCGTGACTCCTCGTCCTTCTCAATATCGCTGTCCTTCCCGGGTTCAATCCGACGTTTCATGTCGCACGGCCGTGCGGGGTTATCTCGTATCGGTTGATGCACCCTCCCTCTCTCTCTTGGTGCGTGGGTGAATTGTGGACTCAAGCGAGCGAGTAGATCCAGCGGTGGATCTGGATCATTTTCAGGCGTTTTTCTGTCCCACAAGCTTTCTGGGCAAAGATCGTGATCTACTGGATGATATGTTGACATCAGCAGACAGGGGGCGAAATCCCCCCGCACTGCGCGCGCACTCTTTGTCTACTCGTTGAACTAGATCCTGAAGAATACAAAGGATACCAAAAAACAATATCTGCATTCCATGCATTGCCATGTACTCTATGCATTCAATGCATTGACCTCGACGTCGAAGCACTAGCCATGTACACGCATACAACAAATAGAAATTGTATACGGCAGTAAATTACATAATTTTTTTTCAATCTCCCCCAAGAACATTTTGCAAAAGTGCAGAGAGAAGAGAGAGAGAGAGAGAGAGAGAGAGAGAAGACAGGAGAGAGATCTCCCGCGCACACTACACAAGCTCCCCTCCCATACATAGGGGCCCAACAAAGATGGCGTTCAGTTCTACCGTTACTGCACAAGGCATGCTCGACGCACAGGATGGAAACCCTACAGTACATTCACGGAGCCCCCATTTATATTGTTCGCGAAATCACATGTGTTGCCCCCTATAGGAAATTGAAAAAAAGTATGGACAAAAAATCACGCCGCAGGTTTCAGCGGGGCAATTTTGTTTCATCCCCTCCCCAGATTGGACAAGGCTGAGCCCAGTTCTTTCACCACCTCGTACTTCTCACACAGACCTCAGCGTGCCACCAAAGTACACGGGCACCTCAAGTAGATCATACCCTCCACCGGAAAGCTGTTTTCACCCTTTGATTTTGCTTTGGACGCGAGAAATGCCTCACGATCACATCTGAGTTGAACCAGCTTTCTGCTGCTGCGCGCAACCTTTTCAGCTCTTGGGAGCCAACTTTCACCGAGGCTTGCTGAAACACTGCGGTCCCCCGATTCGGCCGATACTTGGCCTATCGTAGAGATAAAAGACCATAGAACGAATCCATGATGTGCACGATTAGGGATCTCCACTACAGCGTCCGCAGTTGGCCTGCGAAAGTCGGCCCAGATTCAAGTCTAAACTCCAGTAGTCAGCAGAAGTGGCTTCCAGAACGATCATGCGTCTACCTCCGAAAACATATAGAAATCCAAGCCATGGAAGCACGCACCGGACTTTCATCGCCGTTTGCTGAAGACCTAACCCCAACCAAACCTGACAGAAATTGGGGTGTGTGCGTCTCTATGTATGGGCAAGGCATATCGGATGTGCACGATTAGGGATCAGCGCTACAGCGAGAGGTATAGCAGAATAGCTCAAAACTCTATGCGGAGGGACCGCCTTGTGATTCCAGGATTTGTATTGTCTGCATAATAAAAAAAATAAATATGGTAATTTTTCCATAGGGGGCAACACGTGTGAATAGAACCACGTGCATACAGCACACAGCACACAGCACACAGCACACAGCACACACACAGCACATATATCACCGGCGAGTACGGCGAGTACCCACCGTCCATCGCGTTGCCTCTCATGCACACGCGCAGCCTCATCACGAACCTTGTGCGGATGGGCAGGCAAGAGAGGCCATGATACTACATCTGGCTCCAGGTGAATTGCCAACTCTCACTTACAGTACACATGTCGAAGGATATCTGTATACGAATGCTACAATACTGAGTTTTGGCATTGGTACTGCTGTGTATCTAAGGTCAAAACGTACCACCTCTCTACACTGCTGTATGTAGTCTTCTACACCGCCAATACAGTAGCCTTCGTTTGGACAACGGGACGATGCGGATGGTGCTGCGCAGGACACTACAGTAGGTTGACACTTGTGCAAGAATATGGCGAGACGGGGAGCTGGCGGATCGGGACCGGGACCAAGTACTACGTACAAGTTCGGCGGGAGGGACGTATGTTCATCAGGTCTGAGCGAAGGCGTGTGCGTCCGTGTGTCTTTTCCGCCTACACTGCGGCAACCGACTGGCCAATCAAGAGACCACGGTATTTGTGTGTCCGTCCCATCCATTCAGGCCCAAGTCTGCAGTTCGCACCTTTCGGTGTGCATGTTTGATGTATCAGCCTGGTCACATGGCGGCTTTACGACTATCGAAAGCAATGGTTGATGCCACCATAACTCAGCTGTTGAATGCGTACCAGGTAATTTGACTCTTCCACTTTTCTTGCATCCTGGTTTGAAATCTGCACCCGAACCCTGGCACTAACAACTCGTGCTTGTTTTTACGGGAGAGTTGCCCCTCGTCGACGACACGCACTCACACACATGACCGAGACCACCACAACCAGTGGCAGGACAGTCAGTGGTGTGTGCGTGACAGGGATAGAGGGAAGTATCGACTCATATATATGGAGTATTTTGTTTAGACAACACCGCGGGCACGCATTTGCCTGGAGAGGTCGGTGTGGGCCTCGCGGCTCAACGCTTGACGCAATTAGCGGGAGAAAACAACAAGATATTCTGAGGGAAACATGTAGAGCAAGGTCTGAGAGCAACGGTCCATACACACTAGCAGAGAAGAACGGGCCTCACCACCAGTAGTGAGGAGCAACTATAAGTCAATGAAGAGTGCCCGCGGAAAAGACTGTGTCACAATAAACTGAGGGCGTCCGGTGGAGAAGCAACTGCCGAGTCACAGCTGAGATGAGCGGCCCCGGCGATAGACATATGGCCGAACCCCAAACCGGTCAGATGGTTTGAGCTACCGCTGGCGTCCACTGACCGCGTGGTCCAGTTCCACTGACCGGGCGAGACAGCCACGGGGTTCAGATTCTTGAAACATAGAGGCGCGTGTTACAACTAAATCTCAGGGAGAGGCCCGAGGCAAGCAGATGTAGTGCGGAGTGAGCAGAAAAGGTGTCGTGCAAGAGAACGCGTAGCGGTAGTGTCCGCATGAGACGAGATGATGAGCGCGCCCGGTGAGAGACGAAACGTGAACCTGCCAGATGGTTTGAGGTTCTGCCGGTGTCCGCCGACTGGTCGGTCCGCTTTCCGCAGCGCGGATGAGAGAGGCTCGGAGCGACGACGTGAAAAGCGGCACGAGAGGCACGGGACTTCTCTACTATCAAGCGATTCGGAAATTCTGCTCTGTCAACCTTCCGATAATCCTGGGATTGATGTAGCGGTCGGTGTAAGAGTCGGACAGAATTGTAGCGGAGGGAAAGTGCGATGAATTTTTTTATGGTTTCGCCTTTGTGCGGCATGGATTGGTACTCGACGTATGCGCGTGGGCCGTGAAAATTTTGGTAAAAGCGGTTTTCGTGGACAACGTTATTTCATCATGGTGTCGCTGGATCGCATGGCACCAAGCCGCACCTGGCCGCAGTCTCCCTCCTTGAACATGTACAATTAATCGGAGTCGCCCGAGCACCTCCCAACGCTGGAAACAAGAACTCACTGGGTCGTGACCCATAGTCTATCCGTGGGGAGAGAGAATCACTCATAGAACGGAAACCGAGTATTTCAAGCCGGGGAGTGGCGAGGCCATGGGATGGTGAGAGGGTAAGGTTTTTGGTCTTGGGCGCTCGTGAAAACGGATTCGTGAAGGCTCAAGCCGTTCTGTGCGGCAGGGTGCAGTACTGGAACACTCGACTGAGACACTGTTCGCTACGAGGACGGTGCCAGGAATCGTTGAAACGTTTCGTGCAACACCTTGCTTCGATCCACAACCGCAAGATCCTGCCACGTCCCGCCCTCCACGGCCAACCTGCAGAACAGCGTTGGGGCTGCCATGAGCAGAGCAGAGCGATACTGATGTAAACTAACAGTCCCTACTCGAGAACGTGGCCACCTACACCTAAACGAGGTCAAGTTGAAGTACAAATGACGTACTCGTCCTTGTCCTTGCGGAGTGCGGAACTGGTCTTCGCGTGTCATGTGAGCGTTGGATTGGGCTCAGAGCCACACCAGCACGGCCGACAAATCTCCCTGAAAGTTTCCGAAATAGCACGACGGTGCGATATACCATTTGATTTTGCTCTCGCTTGGGACGGTTTGCGTTTTGTGTACAGCATTCAACTCACTTTCGACCCACGAAGCAAGAGTCTAGCCCTCCGGAAGTTCCCGTGATCACACGGTGACGTGCTCAGGACACCTTCGCCGCCCCTCCGCCAAGAGGCCATCCAGGCCGTCAGTCTTCGGCCGCAATCGCCGGCGACGCCGCGGAGACATCGACGCACAGACGGCGGCAACAGCAGCTCTTCCCTCCCGGGAGGATGTCGCGGAGGTCTCCCCCTCGCTCCCAGTCTCCCACGCGCCCATGAGCACTTTGTTGCCCATGGTTGACATTCCCATGGGAAGCCCGCGGGCGGCCAATGAGAGCCTTTCTACCGGAACGAGTGTACTCCTAAGCAACAGAATATCTGCTCATCAACGGGTACCATAGCGGCCAATAGCCCTAACGCTAACCGTAACCCCAAGCCTAAGCCCACACGATACGTGCTAGGATGCCGCTGGGTGGCAAAGTTCTTGGTTGATGTGCAGGTGGTTAAGTTCTGCAGGTTGATATGCCGGTGGCGAAGTTCTAGGTTGAAATGCCCACTGTTGGCACTTCATGGGCGGCCTATGAGGTGCCCATGGGCGGCCCATGGGTGACCCATGGGTGTCACATGGACGGTTTAAGAAAACTGTCTGGAGTGTGAGAGATTGTGCGCTTGGGAGACTGGGAGCGAGGGGAACGGCTGCGTGGCGTCCTCTTGCGAGGAGCAGCGCTGCTGTTGTCGCCGTCTGTGCGTCCATGTCGCCGCGGCGTCGCCGGCGATGGCGGCCTGAGACTGGCGGCCTGATTGGCCTCTTGGTGGAGCCGCGGCAAAGGTGTCTTGGGCACGTCGCTGGCTTGATGGTCTCGGTGGAGGGGCGGTGTGTGGTCAAGTTACGATTTGATCAAACGCGCTTGCAGGGGGGATGGGGTGGAAAATATTTGTTGAATCGTAACTGCGTCAAACGGCTTTGGACGAAAATGATGAAAGAAGATTTAAGGTTGCATCGGAAGCAAGTTAAGTGCAGGCCAACGGTCGCCACACACACGGTGGTAACAGACCGTAGGAATGTTAGACGGCGGGCGACTCTTGACACTCGCTAGAAGTCGCCCTACCAGGCGGAACTGACAATATTTTATTTTGGTAGGGGGGGGCGGGGGGGGGTACAACGTTTCCGTAATTTTGTCGGTGGCGCTCTTTTGGCCCGTACAACTACCGTGCCGTCTTTTTCTTGTGGTGGCGGCCGCGAGGCTCGTCAGGTGACAAGGCAGGAGATACGGCAGGGAAGTGCAAGCCCCACGACGGATTCGACGACTACCTAACGTTGAGGACCCCATGCGGCGAAACGAGCCGACGGTCGTCGATGGGCTTGCGTTTCCCTGTCGTGTCACCTCACCTGCCTCGACCGCCACCACCTCTGGTGAGACCGCTACCGTAGTCGTCCGGTCCCAGCTCATCAAGAGTCTGAAGCCTCTTCATGGAATGTTAATCAGACATACACGTGGATTGGACGTGCAATGCACAGAGGACGATTGCGTCGAACAAGCCATCAACACAAAATGTTCGTCGGGGTAAAAGGGATAGGGAGCCCTCACCCATCGAAGGCAGTTTCGGCTGCCCACATATTATTTGTGGAGTAGGTCCCATGGGACGTTCCATATTATTTGTGACAGTATCGGGATTTCATATGGAACGTCCCATGGGACGCTTCCAAATAGCAGGACGCACCGACGGGTATACATACGCGACGCTTGCGCTACTAGAGTGTATTCTCACACACGGCGACCCATGACATTTCACATGTGCGTTTGTTTCATGGGCATCCCCACATCCCCACGCGAGTTCCATGGACCGTCGAACGCGTCCCATGAGAAGACAAAGACATTCCGTGGAAGGCGTGGGACAGCCCCCCGGATGCCTTGAGGTTGGGGTTACGGTTGCAGTTCGGCCGCCCGAGGGGACCTGTGGGACCGCACAGAGTTGTAGTTGTAGCTGGGCCGCCCACGAGTCCCGTGGAACGTCCGTGGACGGCACATAGTACGCGTGTGACGCTCGTGGAACAAGTGGGACGGCCCATGGTCCCCCTGGAACGTCCCAGGCGTTCCATGTGACGCCGGAGACGTCGCACAGCGTCACAGGCAGAGGATGCATGGTTTTGTACTATCCACTGGCGAAACTTGACGCAAAAGAATTTCCGTCCTAATCCCTTCGCTCAGTTGCTATGTCGCTATTCACTGCGCTCAGTTGCAGTAGACTGAAGGACATGATCCTTTTCTGAATGACCCCAAACCCGCTTCATCGTGTACGGGAATGAAGGGGCAAGGGTGACGAAGGCCTGGCCATTACAAGATCTCTTCCACAATGATTCCCACTTAACTCAAGATACGGCATGATAGCCAGCCGCTACATACGCCCTCCAAGCCGATGAATTTCTTGCCCAGCCCGACAGAGAACTAGACTGCTTCACATATGCAGGCAGACCAAATAGTACTATATTGCCAACTACAAATCGTTCTTTTGCTGTAATTTTTGTCGTTGCTTTCGTCTTCACACTCATTAATAATAAGTACCTTCTACATCCGTACCGGTCCAAATGACGCGGAGGCGTTCCGTCGTCACAGGCCACCTACCGCAAACAAGGTGCAATCGTAAAGAATAACACCAAAACACGACGGCATCAGAGCAAAAAACAGACCGAATAACAGTAAAAAGACCTCAGCCAGATACAGTCATCGCTGATGACATATCGGGCAAAAAAGAGAGCACATCGCTTCCGCGGAGCACGCAGTCCCATACAAAATAATACTTCATGCTCGGGATTAATACCCCAGCGCTACATCTTGGACTCGTCCTGTCTGGGAGAAAATGCTGTACAAAGATTTAATACTATCTCGCTGCACTCCTACACAAATGGCCATCTGTTCATATCATACACAACGTATGTACTCCGAGTAGACTCAAATCGGTGGTCTATTATATGTTGTAGACTGCACAGTTTTGACCCTAAACCCAGTTTTGTCAGTCGACACCAACGGTCTCATCTCAAGGAGAAAACATGCCAGAGATCCAATGAACCCAAGAAGTCAGCAAAGAAAATCAATGTTGTGCGGTCAGCGTTTGGTCCACGGGTGCAAGTGTAACGCCGGATTTGCCCCCGCTTGAAGATGGTACGATATGTTGCATGGCCCGCCTTAAACCGCATTCCCAAGTTCAATCAATCAATCTGCTGCCTAATGAAAATACCCAAGCAACCACACACCAAGCCTCATGTGAACCTCCATCCAGATCATCACCGACGCCCTAACTCGAGAAGGCGCAGCAGAGTACTATCGCACACCACTGTCTGGATCTGCAGCATAAAATCGAGTCCCCTTTCAACGACCCGTGGTTCGCACAAATAGCAGTAAAATGCAGGCCATTCTACTGTAGAGATATTTGACAAGTTCTGCAATGTACCAAGGAATGGAACGTAGTGAACTGGCCGGGATTGAGCTTCATTGTGACTGGTGGTCGAAACCATGAACGATCATGGCTGGATAACCCCTGCACGACACGTACGGCTAGCAACTGAAGACCTGACGCATCACGCTGAGCTGGAAAAATGTGTCGTCTGGCAACAGTGGATATTGTTGTGCTTGAATGCTACGCCCAGTCCGCCGCCCACAACAGCAAGAACCACCGCTGATATCGCAGCAATTGCCCCACTTGATAGGTCATCGCCACCACTGTCATCTCCGTCATCGTCCATCTCAATATTTGCCGCGTCGCCAGTGCCAGGTTCATCGGTGCTGTTTCCGGCAGTCGGGGCATCGGGGTCGCTAGAGCTGCCTGATGGTTCTGAGATCAAAGTTTCGAGGACGAGTTTTCACAATAAGAGGGTGGGTCCAACAAAGAATCATTGGATGCGACGGAGTATCGGGTTGTGCTGACGCACCCTTCAATGACTCGGCTACAGACTTGGGTTGCATGGCCTACATATCATGCCCGCCTGTATATGCAAGATAAGGTGTTGTAGGCGTGGCTTAGTGGAACTTACAAGAAATTAGAATATTGAACATTGTAGAAATCCTTACAAAACAGCAGACAAACGAAACAACGTTAAGCGGACTTCGATGAATGGTAGAACTTGCAGCAAGGCTCGGTGCCGTGGTAGGTAGGTACATCATTTTCGCAATGCATGGGAACTCTTCGCCCTGACTCTCGTCTCTCTCTCTTTCTCTCATTGTTAAAAAAAATATATGACACCAGGGATCTATAACCTGTGGGTCTCGTTTCTCTCTCTCTCTCTCTCTCTCTTGCTCTCTCTCTCTCTCGCTCCCTCTCCCTTGTCTCGCTCTCTTCTCTCTCCTTACGTGTGAAAGACTTGTTGAGTAATCCTTCAAGCCTGCCACCAGTCTACCCATAGGGTTGGAGTCAAAATCATCATAGGTCAGGTGCCAGTCCCGACAGGTCTGGACGCGTAAAATAGGAACGAACCGCACAGTATACAGATGTGCGACGCGTGTCAATAAAACGATAGCCAAGACAATCATACCCGTACCGTATGTTGAAGTTGCAGACGAGGACGGCGCAGAAACGCCTCTTGGCAAAGGCCCCTCCGTTGTCTCTGCACGTGGGGCAGACAAAAAACAGGCAAATGAGGATGCGAAAAATGTGGGATGGTAACATCATTTTCGTTAGTCAACCTTCCCTGCAGGCTGAGTACGACCCTTGTGGGGCACAGCAGTAATCCCAAAGCTTTGCACATGTCCAGGCCATCATACCTGCAACACCCGTTGGTGACGGTGTCAGCAATGTGTCGCTTGACGAAGACCCGCCCGTTCCGTCTGTGTGGCGCAGGGAGCAGACAGCCCGGGGGATCGAAGGATACAATGAGGGCAAACACGCATTTCGTTCGCGAAGTTTCAAAACGTCAAGTACTGTAATCCGACGTCCAAGAATTCCAAGAACTTCGTGCGCGTGACTAGGCCATCATACCTGTAACACCCGCTGGTGACGGTGTCGGCAACACGTCGCTTGACGATGACCCGCCTGTGGCGCACGGAGCCGACAAACCGGGGGGTTGAGGGGAACAATGAGGGTAAACAAGAGTTTTTTTCGCCATGTTTCGCAAGGCACGAACAGTTTTCCAACGCTGGTAGGGCAAAGTGCAGTGTGTCAAGAACCTGGTGCGCGTGACTAGGCCATCATACCTGTAACACCCGCTGGTGACGGTGTCGGCAACACGTCGTTCGATGAAGAAGACAAGTCTGTTACCCCGGCGTGGCGCAGCAACCGTGGGGTCGACGGGTACATTGAGTACACACACGTGTTTCGTTCGCCAAGTTTTACAAGGCTATTTACTGCATCCAACGCCGTTGCGGCAGAAGCGCAGCATAGCATTGTGCGCGATCAGGTCATCACACCTGTACCACCCGTTGGTGACGACGTCAACAATACGTTGATCAACGAGAACCCCTCCGTTACCTCTCTATGGCGGCCGCAGAGAGCGGACAACCGGGGAGGTCGAGGGCCGGATTGAGGGCAACACGCGTTTCGTTCGCCATTTGCGCAAGGCATAACAAACCACTAAATACCCGGCGCTGGCGTGTGCTGGCAACAACTCCCCGGCCGAAAAGACCACCCTTGCAATTTTCGCGTGGCGCTATCCAAGGGTCGAACAGGGCGCTTGATACTCCGTCATTGACGCGGCGCGATTTTCGAATGGCTGGTCGAGAGCTACCGAACTATACTACGGCTGGTCGAGTCCGTGACAACCGATTTCGACTCTCTCATATCGGAGCTCCTCATCCAAAGTGCCCTCTAATAACGGACCCCCCGAGTGTACAGTAGTCTACATTCGTTTTTGACCCCGAACAGTCTAACCCATTGTGGGTCGCACTTTTGAAATATGTAGAACCGCGATGTGAAAAGGCTTTGATAATCACTTTTTCTGTGCCCTGCTTTGAGTGAGGGAGAGGGTATCATTCGCCAGATCTACAGTACTACTCGAACATCTGCCCCGTTTGGGGTGCCAGACTAGGCATCCGCTTCGGCTTGATATGTCCCACGCCGGCCTATGAGGCATGGCCACTCTCGTTTCTCGGCGGCGACTTTTCCAAGCCCCCGCTACTTGCTGCCTACGGACAGCTGACGAGAATGTGCCCACACGACCCCACGCGTGAACGAAAGGGGGACTATGTACCAAGGACACTGTTAGGGTAAAAAAGACGAACTTGAACCTAGACTTGTGAAGACACCACGTGGGACAACGCGAGTGATGCCTTGTGGTGAACCTCACCTGAGCAAGTGATGACAATTGGTGACGGCGATGGAATGTCGAAGTCACAATAGCTGTTGTCGCATTCGACCCACTCTAGGGTGATGTCCGCAGGGTTCGAGGCATCGTCGTACGTCTGGACAACACACAGGTTCGGACGACAACAGTAGTGCATGCGGGAAGTGAAGCAGCGCAGACCTCACAAGTACACCCCAGACCTACCTCCCGCTGTACTCAAAGGCCGACCAGAAGTAACGCAACCTCGAAATTGAAGCGAATGAAACCGAGTCAAACACTTCAACGCCCGCGCCTTGTTCAACGCATGACTGGCGGCAAACGCTCGTGCAACTCGACTCGACCCCCCCTTCCCCCCTAAGGGGCCAGCATGTGTTTGGCCCCATCTTTAATCGGGATGGAGACACAGGAGGCGACGTAGATTCATGCATCCGTGTTGTTTCTCGTCGCCATTAGAAAGGGACGCACGATGGAGTCGAGCCAACGTGCTGTGGTGCCAATCAATGGCAGCGGTCTCCGAACACAAGTTACTACGCAAACAACAAGGGGATATGAATCGCCGAGCTCCTCGATACCGCGTAGCTCACATAGACAAGCCCGCTGAAAGCCAAGCGCAGAGCAGATAGACTCCCGACTCACCCGGTATCTGGGGTATTCGGCTTCAAGTGGCTGCACGTTCCAAGCGTCATTGTTAAGGTAGATGCTGTAGGTTTCAACCCCAGTCGCCATAGAGTACTGTTTGTCGTATGAGGTGTCGGCGACCTCCGCGTAAGTACCCGAAAAGTCGCCGAAGTCGGAGAGAACCACGTTGGTGCAGGTCGCTGTTCTTACGCCCGCGTGTGTGACACAAGGTGCGCGGTACGGCAGTTCGATTCGTTGTTTACGTTAAAATAGGTTCGCAAAGCAGTGGCCACAATTTCTACCAGAAAGCTAAGAGAAAGCTTGCTAAGGCGCACGACGAGAGAATAATGGTTACACAGCGATTGCACGGTACACTGGTGATCAGTCTGAATTTGCTCCCCCATTTGATATATGACGAAACGTCAGCAAGCTTTGTATCATTCTCCACCCAGATTCGGTCCACGTTCCATATGCCATTTTTTTTTTAGGTTTGTTGGGTTTAGACCCTTGAACGGGCAGGAGCGTCGTACATCGATGTACCCCTACCACGTAAAGAGCGCTCTGACTACTTGAGAACTCCAGAGCACATCCAGTTCATTTGGTTCGAAACAAGAAATCACCACGTATGAACATGATCGAGCCTTCCGTGTGAAATGAAACCCAACTGAGACACTTCACGCGTCCGGCTACCAAATCAAACCGGCAAGCTAGAGTTTGGTAGAGGCACACGTGAGCGAGGAACACTGCGGGTGGCACGGGTGAATCGAACGAAACCAGGTACTTGAATACATCGCTCGATCAGAAGTACACACGACCCGCGCGTCAACCATAACTGCCTCTTCTTCCACCCAGCGTTCGGGCCAGCAAGATGCTAGTGTCTCACATGCTGTGGCGGTAACAGTGTCTGTGGAAACGGAGGGCGGAAGCGACGCAGGGGGGGCAAGGCATGTTCGTCGTAGTCAGAAGGACGTTCGAGTAGATCATGATGTGCAGCGGCACTTCCGACAATCCTGGTCCAACTGCTTCAGTTGGGATTTTCGAATATGTGTTGCTGGTGCTTCTGTTCTTGTATCGTTCGTAAAAGAGCTGCACATATTGAGGGATGCACACAAGGATGGCTTCAACCTTTGAGCTTTGCACTACTGCACCAGGCTGCACAATCTCACCCGCGCAAGTAACGTTAAAGGACGCCGTTGCCGGTTCGTCCCAGTCGCAAGAGGCGTTGTCGCATTCGGCCCAACCTAGGGTGATGTCCGCAGGGTGTCCGGCGTCGTCATATGTCTGCGATGCGTGCGAAGACACGAAAACGGGGGGGAGGGCGTCAAGACAAACGCGGCATGGACGATATCGTCACTCGAACGTGAACCCCAACGATCGCAGCGATGGTAGGCCATGTTGGCGTGAACACCACCATGCTGATGACGCGCTGGTACTGGTGTCTGACGTCTGACGCGACCGGCTCACGATGATGAACGCGTACACGAGCTGCGTGCCGCTGCTAGAATGCTATTGCCCAACTCCTCCACCCGAGTGCCCTTTAGACTATTGAGAATCAAATAGGGACGGGGAGCAAATTAAGGGCAGTCTTTTAACCTCGTGCATCTCTTATGGTTTTCGGGCTATCACCCGCAAACGCTGATAGAGGCACAAACAAACGTGAGGGCATGTATCACGCAAGGTTACCACCAACCCAGATCAGCTGCGGGGATGCCTCCCGAGTACTGATATTGACCTGACTCACCCTGTACTTCGGGTAATCGACAACGTTAGGCGATATGTACCATGCGCTGTTGGAAAGGTACACGTAGTAGTAATCAGTCCCTCCGGCCATGTAGTAGAGCTCGTCGTAGGAACTGGTGCCAGCAATCTCCCGGTAGGTTCCGGAAAAGTCTCCCAAGCCTGAGATGGCGATGCTAGTGCACGTCGCTGTACTTTGAAGGATTTGGAAACGGATAAACAACGCGCGTGAGGATGAGAGAGAAACAACAACGATGACAAGAAACAACGACCTACTTTCCTCGAGCGTCAGCGATGAACCAGAGGGTCGCGCTGGCAATTTGCTATCGCCAATGGCAATCGCAGAATACCACGATGGGCACGAAGTGGTAGCGTACTCTTTTAAGGAGTCTATGCACGCCAACTGAGGAAGGATACAACTAGAGGAGTGGAAACGCTGAATGAGAAACGCGTAACCATGGGGCGCGCCAGCTGGTGCCCTCTGTAGCAAAGAAGTAGCGAGGTATTTTAAGTTGCGCGTCCCAAGTTCTGGTCAACGTCCGCTCGGGTCTCACATGCTGTGGTGTTGATGGTATCTGCAGAGGCAGCACAGACGACGCACATCGAAGGAACGGGTTAGGTCGCATCGGTCAGCTGCTTTCCCATAGACCTAATCCACGTTGCTACCGTCGCGGCTGGAGGCGGTGAATACTCGAAAAATAGAGAACCCAAAACTGGGGAGATCATACGGCTCAGCACTAAAATGCTTTACGAAAACAAAGAGAGTACACTTGCAGCAGAGATGAGAACTTGCGAACGTATTGACAGCGCACGTGTGATTTGACAGCGCACGCGAGGTAGGGTGTTTGAAGACGATTGGGATGGCGTCGTTCAACGCCATGTGCAATATGTCCCGGGGGGTGGGAGGCTTGCGGAAACTGGTCTTTCCCTTCGCCATGCACAAAAACATGGAACTTGGACTTGCGTGAGGCTAACTTGTTTCTGCTGCCCGATACGGCGTCACCTTCTTGCAACTACATACAATGTATGCGTTGAACTTCTCGACTGAAAGTCCTGACTGACGACGTACAAGGCCCAATCTCACCTGCCGCGCACGTGATGGCCATGGATGTCGCCACTTCTACGTAGTCACAGTAAGTGTTATCGCATTCGGCCCAGCTTTGGGTGATGTCCGCAGGATGTGCGGCATCGTCGTATGTCTGTAGTATATAAGAAGCGACAGGTGTGCGCAACTCACCATTTAGTGACTTCGGAAAGAACGCCACATCACAGATTCGTTGCACTGTATGCATCAAGCATCAAGGGGAGAAACAAGGACGACGGTAAACACCAGTCTATCGGGGGGTCATTGACCCTCATGCATCTATCGCTTTTCGACGCATCGCGACGAAATGCTGTGAGGCACAAAACAACCTTGAGGGAATGCATCACGCAAGGCCGCTACCTAGCAAGATCAGCCGTAGAGAAGCCTCTCGAAAACTGGCTTATTGAACTGACTCACCCTGTACTTCGGATAGTCGACAACGTTTGGTTGTATGAACCATGCCCCACCAGAAAGGTACACGTAGTAGTAATCGGTCCCTCCGGCCATGTAGAAGAGCTCGTCGTAGGAACTGGTGCCAGCAACCTCCCGGTAGGTTCCGGAATAGCTCCCCAAGTCCGAGACGGCGATGTTAGTGCACGTCGCTGCATTTTTTACGGATTTGGCAACGGATACACAACCCGCATGCGGGTGAGGAAGAAACAACCAAGCTACACAACTGGCGCATCAGGGATGCAGCAGGCGTCCTGATAGATTTTGCTAGGGCCAACAGACATCGGCGAAGACAACAATGGACACAAGCCAGCCAGCAGCGTACTCTTCAAAGTGGCTTGCACACGGCCACGCAGGAGCGCTACAGCTAGCGGGGGTGGAACCACTCAACGCGTAACCACGGCAAAAGCTGGAGCCTTAGCGTGGGCAAGTAAGGTGTGCCGCGGTCGTCGAAGTCATTGCCGAGCTGCATTTTACGCGCCCACGTTCTGGTCAACGTCCACAGGGGTCTCACATGCTATCGTGGAGTTCGTATCTGCAGAGGCAGCACAGACGACGAACGCAACAGAACGGGATGGGTCACGATCGTTTTAGCTTTCTTCCCTCTCACAAATAAATACACCTAGCTACCGTCGGCTTGAGGTGGCCAATACTCGAAACATGGTACACAAAACTGCGGGAATCATACGGCGCAGCAATCAATTGTTCACGAAAACAAAGCACTTGCAGCCGAGGCCAGAACCTGGGAAAGCATTGACAGCGCAAGTGTAAATGATGAGGTATTTGTAGATAATTAGGTTCGTGTAGTTCAACGCCATGTGAGAAGTTGTCCGGGGGGGGGGGGGGGGGGGGGGGGGCAAAAAAAAAGGGGCCTTCCCTCCCCCCCGAAAAATTTTTAGGAAAACCCCGGGGGAACCGGAATTTTAACCCCCCCCTCCCCCCCAAAATGGGGGGTTTTTTTTGAAAAAAAAAAACCCGGGCTTTGAACTTTTTGGGGGAATTTTTCCCCTTTTAAAAAAAAAGGGCCCACCCCCCCCTGGCCGGCCGGGGGGGGTTTTGGTTTTGGAATTTTTCCCAAACCCCAAAAATGGGGCCCCCCTTTCCCCCCCCCCTGGGGGAATTCCCCGGGGAGGGGGGGGCCCCCCCTTTTTTTTTAAAAAAAAAACATTTTAAAAGGAAAAAAAAGGTCCCCCCAAAAAATTTCCTCTTTAAAAAAAGGGAGAAGGGGGGGGGGAAAAAC